ACAGGGGACTATGCAGGGTGGTATGCTGCTTGCATATTTAACTGCCAATTTACTTTTTTATTATATTTTTTATTTAAAAAAAATTATTAATCCTCTTCGGAGGACACATTTCTTTTTTGTTTTTACAGCTTTTTTGCTACATATACATACATTTCCCATTTACATTTTCCATATACATATTCCATACATGGTACTTTTATATACAGCAATCACATAACAATTATACATTACTGAACATAAACTCTTAATCCCACCCCTCAGCCACTCTCAGTCCATCCCACCTATCACCATAGACCACCCTCGTTTGGTTTCCATGTGATTCTGTCTCTTCACAGCAAAATCTACAGAGCTGAGATTGTGGTATGCCCGATATAGCATTCTGTTGGAGGTAAGAATTTTGTATAATAATTTACAATGAAAAACTCAGTGTTGAATCAATTGTTGTATTTTGTATCAGTTCATATACCATGTGCTATGGAATCAGTACATCAAAAATGTATTCACATTTATTTTGCAACCTGTATGGAGCAGCTGTCAACATTTTTGTCATGAAATGAAACTGGTATATTTTTATATTTATGCCGATCCTTGTATCTTTAATATATGGCAGACAAACAAGTTCCCTACTTTCTCCCTCTTCCACTTGCCTCCTCCATATTTGTGGTAATGCAGCAATCAGTTGGTTGTAAGTTTGGATTGAGCAGACATTCCCATACAGTGCATTCAGGAAGTATTCAGACCACTTCCCTTTTTCCACATTTTGTTACGTTACAGCCTTATTCTAAAATTGATTAAATAATTGTTTTCCCCTCATCAATCTACACACAATACCCCATAATGACAGTGAAAACAGGTTTGTAGAAATGTTTGCACATTTATTAAATATAAAAAACAGAAATACCTTCTTTACATAAGTATTAAGACCCTTTGCTCGAAATTGAACTCAGGTGGATCCTGTTTCCATTGATCATCCATGAGATGTTTCTACAACTTGATTGGAGTCCACCTGTGGTAAATTCAATTGATTATTGTCTCATAGCAAAGAGTCTGAATACTTATGTCACGACTTCCGCCAAGGCTGCCCGCCCCCCCTCCTGGTTCGGGCAGGCTTCGGCGTTCGTCATCACCGGAGTACTAGCTACTGCCGATCCCATTCTCATCACTCCACTTGTCATGTCTTGTCAATCACACACACACCTGGTGCTCATTCCCTTAATTAGTATGTGTATTTGTGCTCCCTCTGTTCCCCTTGTCTTTGTGAGTGATTGTTTGTTGTGAGAGTGTGTAGCTCGGTTGAGCTACTATTCTCAGTGTTTATGCCAAGGTGGATGTTTTCCCTTGTTAGTTTCGTTTTGACGCTTGGAGTGTTTGATTTATGTAAACGGAATAAACTCTGGACTTCGGTATTTTACCTCATGCGCCTAACTCCTTCCTTCTCAACTTATGTAAATAAGGTATTTCTGATGATTAATATTTGCAATGTTAAGCATGCTGTAGCTGCAACTGTGTAAACCTACAATTGTCCTAATATTCCACCCACTCAAAGCTCCCCCCTACATCTAGGTCTGTTGTCACTAAGACCATCTCCCTGACTCATGACGCACCTGTGCGTCCTAAGGCAAACCCTTGGCCGCCATAGGCGTGGGTCAGCGGGAAATATGGGCAGTCCCATGATAACATAATTAAATACTGCCACCCTTCACTCACACATTCAAACCCCCATAGGTCTATTGCATATCTATGAGGGTGCTTTTTAAGAGAACTAACCAAATAACATGGAAAATAATAAAAAATAATATTAATAGAAATAATAACAGCACAATATTATAGATTCATTAAGAAAGCAAAGGCTATAAGCATCTCAGCCCAGCCTGCTCAGTTCATTGGATCTAATTGTTCGAAAAAATGATAAAACATTAAGAGAAAAATACCTCTAAATATCGGAAGACCAGTTCTTTATGTCCATTATGCACGCTGCATATCGGCAGAGAGACATATTTCATATCCTGTTATATTCCTGTTATATTCCGACAATAAGGAAGAAAGAAAAATGATTTTAATAGCCGCTAAAAAATACTTCTAAAGCTATTTACAATCGACAGCCATGGCACAATAGGGATACCTAGTCAGTCTTCCGCATTTAATCCAAGAGGTGCGGGGGGATGCCTTAATCGACATACACGTCATTCGCGCCCAGGGAACAGTGGGTTATCTGCTTTGCTAAGGGTTGAACGACAGATTTTCTGGCCCAACGCTCCTACCCGCCAGGTTACCTGCGGCCATCAAAGAAGACATGCAATACTGACAATCTAGAGCGAGTAAACCTGTAAAACCAACCCTCTCTCCACCCACCCACATTTTGTTTTTATTCCAGGGTCGTTGCGCTATCACCTCGGCGGTTTTACACAGGCCTATATCATTAGGATCAAGAATACAAGGGTAGCGTATGTAGTTCATGTAAAAATACAATATACTTCTCGCTAAAAGAAGTGCTGCCATAGGCCAGTTATTGTGTTGGCTCTGCCAAACTTTAATCGGTTTAACCCAGTGTTAACCAGCCAGCCGCACACTAATAGAGACAACAACCCTGTTGACAATACCCAATCAATTTGAGATTTATTTTAAATGTAAAATGATAATGACACGAATTATTTTAGGATCGCATAGGCCTACTCCAGTAGAGAACCTAGACAGGTTTTTAATTATGTAATCCTTTATCCTAGCCCTACATTAGATCTATTCATATTTATTTCGTTTTCTCTTAAATTCTATTAGTTCAGATTCACATCCGCCATATTAACTGGGTGGTTTGAGCCCTGAATGCTGATAGGCTGACAGACGTTGTATATCAGACCATATACCATGGATATGACAAAACATTTATTTTTACTGCTCTAATTATACTGAATAAAAATATAAATGCAACAATTTGAAAGATTTTACTGAGTTACAGTTTATATAAGGAAATCAGTCAATTTAAATAAATACATTTGGCCCTAATCTATGGATTTCACATGACTGTGCACGGGTGCAGCCATGGATGGGCCTGGGAGGGCACAGACCCACCCACCATATGTGGGCAGCATGTCAACACAATACTACAAAGCATTCAACTCCACATTAAAATCCTGGGCTCTGATTTAAAGTTGCATTGTTGACAATGGCTGACATCCGCAGCGTTTACCGTGTGTGATCTCTGCGAATGTCAGGGAAATTGCCATTGAAAGTCACATTTTCAACTTGTCCTTTAATTGAATCCCAGCCATGGCACTAAAAGTAATAGACACAAACTGAGATATTTCTTTAAAATCATATTTATTTCAAATTTGTTCTCATACCTTAAAGCATCTGTACAAAGTACAGTTCCCATAGGGGTGTAAAAATCTCTTCCCTTAGATGTTGGACAGGTAGGGTGAATTATAAGCAGATATATTTTTGTGCATTTTTCATCCTTAATGTATTCTCTTAAACAATAATCTTAAATGACAGCTATTCATTATTTCTTAGTTTGATTTCTTACAGCATTCAGACATAGTGAGCTAAAGACAGAAACAGTGTTTATAGCCATCAAGTATGTACATACAGAAACAACACGTCACACACAGCAGACTGCACAGCACTACGGGAGACCACATCAACTCAATGCTCCAAATACAGCTATATACAGGTCCCTACTATGGCACGATGTCAATACATCACCACTGACTATAATGGAGGGGGGGGGGGGGGGGGGGGGCAGGGAGGTGGAGGAGTCAGTGACATATGATATGGGATGGGGATTTAAAAATGAATATAAGGAGCACACCACCATGTTACCATAGCTTCCCCTGATCCACCCTTTCCAGTAGCCAAGGGGGCAGGGCCTGGTCCTGGCCGGATGGAAGGGGGAAGTGGATTGAGGAGGACGGTTCATTGGAGTTGGGTGAGGGCATCGATTACACACAAAGACGGCATTGTGCAGCTCTGGTGGTTTTCCTGAACCACTACTCGACCACTTTGACCCTGAATGTGACGCGCCCCAGGAACTTGTCGCGGTCGTCACTGTTCCGCAGGTCCGAGCCCTCAATCTTACACTCAATGGTCAGCTCGTTGTTGTAGTCCTCCTTGGTCAGCAGAAGCTTGACCGCGACCAGGGGCTGAACGTAGGTTGACTGATAAACACACAGGGAGAGATGGAGGGAGACCACTGTTAATTCACATATGCACAGACGTGCGCACATCCACACACATAACAGTGGTTGTCATGACAATACACTGGCATTCATTTTGCACTCAATGCCTCAGGTGAATATAGTCCACCCCCATACTGTACATTTCCCAGCATTCTCATCTCCCTAGACTGCCTTGACAATAGTAACATTTTCTATCTGTAATTACAATTAAATTATTCTGCATTCTATCTCATGAACAGTTTCCTTCTCAATATAAATATGTAGCGTAATGTACTTACATGCAAATTCTTCCCATAATAAGGGAAGTACATCTTATCGAACCGCCCCTCAGATGGGAAGTACTGCATCTGCAGGTGGCTTTCTCTCTGTGGGTGGATGAGGAGGAAGAGGTGGAGGAAGAGGAAGGAGTGGGGTGAGGTGAGGAAGAAGAGGAGGAGGAGGTGTGAGATCACAGAACTAAACATATGAATGCACTGGGAACGTACGAAGCTGCCTCCACCGACTCTCAGAACAACAATCTGACTAACTCTGTACACAAGGACATACAACAACCCTGGAGTCTACAAACACACACACTGTAGCTTTACACATATGCACACGGCACAGACCACACGACAGGTGTAAACCACCACACACTCTCACAGTACACCACATAGTTACCACGCATGCAAACGCACGCACAAACAATATAGTTACCATCCACTCACACATACCCGTATACACACGCGCGCACACACACAATCCGCCACCAGATGGTTCTCTATGGTTATCAGAATGGTTTACGGTGGAGAGGAGAAATTCAAATGAATTCAGAGAGAAAGAGAGGAGGACAGATGGAGGGGAGTTAAAAGAGCCAGTCTATCTTTTGCTGAACGGCAGAATACAGCATCAGTGTTTCTCTGTAAACCTTCAAACAGGTCACAAAGGTCAGAGTTGACAGTCTCGGTGAGGGAGGGATGGAACCCAGAGCGCGCGCGCTCGAGAGAGAGTGACATTGTTAGAATGTCAGAGCCAGAGGAAAACCATGGAAACACAGTTAGTGGGAGCCATGGCGCAGCGGAGCAGGGTTCTAAAATCAACGGAAGGAACCTTTTCAGGTTCCAATACCTTACCATACAGATACATACACCAACTGCAGTTATATACAGTCAGTGACAGTAATTACCAAAAAGATCAACACTTTTGACATATTGACTACTCCTCGGTCTATATTGTCTCTGAGGTGATTAGTTATAGGGGTTAGATTAGAAAGCTCTAAAACATGAACACCATGAATGCTGTTTAAAGCAGCAGAGGACAAAGCGCCACATCACAGAGGTGGACAGAAGCAGCGCCGAAAGTTAATGGAGAAAGGCTAGGGCTAGGACCATGGGGAAACATAGGGGGGCTAGGACCCCATTTCTTACCCACCAGTGAACTGCTGGCCCTACAGGCAGCATGGAGAGAAATCAAATACAGACACGTGTGAAAACACAGACAGAAACATACATGTGCATACCTACATAATGCACGCACACACACAAATATAGACATGATAGGGAGTACAAAACCTGTCTCTAAAAGTCCTAGCACACAAAAACATAACCCGGAGCATACAAACACACACACAATTCATTGTTACACCCAAAATAAAAACAGTTTCTTTGCTTTACCTTAGCAGTGCAGTTAATGTAGGGGTCCCCGCGCGGTTTCAGTCCAATGATCTACAGGAGTGAGAAGAATATCATAAAGACTATTATAGCAACCTTTTGTGAGTTCAACAGTTCTTTCTGGTGTTTCTTACCCATTCCTCAAGCTTGTTTATATGTAAAAATGATCAAGACACAGCAGCTTTCAGAATGGTCCAAAAAATGGAAGCACTGATTTGAGTTAAAAGATGTTGAGAAGTAGCTCAGTTAGTGACACAAGGAGGTGATTTGGTTTGAGCTGGCCGTATAGGGACCAGTCAGTAGATCGGGCACATGTGTGCTGCCTGCTTATTGAAGGGCCAGGGACTTGTACTGTCACAAACATAGCTGTCTCAGAGATGCCTAAGAATCTTCTTAATTGCCCCTGATAGGATAGTTAAGTTGGATTGAATTGAATTGAATACCAATCAGGCTACACAGAGGCCAATCAATGCACTCTGACCTCTATCCCTGCAAACAGAGATGCTGACACAGAATGCCCTGTCAGCACAGAGGATATTGCAAATAGTGATTAAGAAACAAGTACAGTGGAAAGGACACAGAATAAGCATTTTTCAATATGAATGCTTCTGCATGAAGACAGAGAGGATACACTGAAAATCTGTAGTGCAAAGGCAATGGATCTAAGATAAGGAGGTACTCGTGTAGGGGAGGTAGTTCAATGAACCACGCTTGTGTGATGAGTGACCTTGCCTGAGACCTGAAGACTTGTGATAGCTCCCAGAGATAATGGCTTACTTAGGCTTTAAGGTTTTAAGCTCCAGTCTTTAGGCTTTAGTTCAATGGGCTAACGCTGTCTTATTAGTTCTAAGAAGAGCAGAACCGACGATCCCTAGTCGGGGCACTCACCCTGTTCATCTTGACGAGGACGCAGGGTTCGCCCTCGGCGTAGCCAAAGGTGGTGTCAGACAGGCCGGAGCACTGCCGGAGCAGACTGCGCTTGAACTGACACACCTTCTTCTCCTCCTGATCATCCTGCTCATAGTACTCTCCCACCATACACAGTTCGTTCTTCTCCTGCACAATGTCGTTGTATTCTGAGGGGACCCAACATAGGGCACAGACTCAAGTTCCACTGTATTTGACAGCCTGCTATTTACCTGGTACAGACAGTATTCACCTAAATATTACATGTCAAAATTGTAGCTAATAATTATGTCACAGTAACGTATTCATTACTTGTTTGTTTCTTTGGAATACATATTACATAATCAGTTAGCCAGTTTTGTGTTGAATATAAAACGTAGATAGTATGCATACGCATATTCCAGCGCCACTGCCAAGGATTACAGTGCCCTTTCAAGCCAGGTAGAATACTCTCCTTAGTCATGTACTGTATACAAAGTGTAATCAACTGCAACTACTTAAACTCTAATTTCCTTTACCATGGTGACCCAACACTAAAACTGTATTTCGCCATAGAAGTCATATGTACACATTTTTTAGAAAAAACTAAATGGGACTGAAAGAGGGGTTCTATCACTCACTCTGAAGGAAGTTCTCCAGATGCTGGACATACTGGCCGTACTTGTTTGGGTCGGTGCGGTTGAAGACGATGTCCAAGGACCGGGGCCTGATCACCAAACCTGAGGACAGGTAGGGGGAAACATGTCACGTCAACTGTCTGCACCTACTTATGTTATGGAGATGGTCCAGTGAACCGTGCTCACGTGACGAGTATCCTTGCCTGAGGGCTGTTACAGTGACCGTTTTACTGCCACACAGGTGGTCACGAGTCATGTCGGTAGTCAAATTCCACGTGACCGTTTAGTCATGGTAATTAGGCTTCTCCAATCTGATGCTGCTGATGGTCATTAGTAGTCTACCAAACTTGCTAACTGCCTTGTACTTAGCACTCTGACATCAATGCAAATCTAATCGAAAATCTAATCAAACACTTCATGAGAGCCCATGATCTCATGTTGCACACCATATCCATAGGCTATGCAATTGCGTGAGAAAACAGAGTGATGGCCTCAATTAAAAAGAGGAAGATCCCATCAGATTTCTATAGGCTAGGCCTACTATATTTATTTCTCAACTTTCCTAATATTAAGCAAATTGCTTCTCTTTACAACAGGAGTGTCACGACTTCCTCCGAAGCTGCCACCTCTCCTGGTTCAGGCAAGCTTCGGCGTTCGTCACCGGCCTTCTAGCCACTGCCGCTCCTCATCTCATCGTTCCATTTGTTTTGTCTTGTCTATTACACACACCTGGTTCATATCCCCTCATTAGTACGTGTATAAGTGTTCCCTCTGCCCCCTTGTCCTCGTGGGTGATTTTTTATTGTGAGGAGAGTGTAGCTCGGTTGAGCTCTGTGTATTTTGTATTGCCGGGGTATATTTTTCCCCGTGTGCCTGTTTGGTTCCAGGGCGCCTGTTTTGCACACTGGACTGTTTGATGCATTTCTGCGTAACTCTGTATTCTGGAATAAACTCTGTATTCTGTGATTTACCCTCCTGCGCCTGACTCCTTCAAAATCACCCATCACAAGGAGTATAGCCTACCTGTCTGGCATGAAATTGAACCACGGGAAAAGCGTCCTCCATTCGCTATTTAAGTGCATAGATGACCAGTTGAGACAGGTGCATGAGAATGGTCCATTCTAAATCCAAACTAATTTCACACATATATTATTTGTATTTATTTATTTATTTCACCTTTATTTAACCAGGTAAGCCAGTTGAGAACAAGTTCTCATTTACAACTGCGACCTGGCCAAGATAAAGCAAAGCAGTGCGATAAAAACAACAACAACACAGAGTTACACATGGGATAAACAAAACGTACAGTCAATAACACAATAGAAAATCTATATACAGTGTGTGTAAATGTAGTAAGTTATGGAGGTAAGGCAATAAATAGGCCATAGTGCAAAATAATTACAATTTAGTATTAACACTGGAGTGATAGATGTGCAGAAGATGATGTGCAATTAGAGATACTGGGGTGCAAATGAGCAAAATAAATAACAATATGGGGATGAGGTAGTTGGGTGGGCTAATTACAGATGGGCTGTGTACAGGTGCAGTGATCGGTAAGCTGCTCTGACAACTGATGCTTAAAGTTAGTAAGGGAGATAAGAGTCTCCAGCTTCAGAGATTTTTGCAGTTCGTTCCAGTCATTGGCAGCAGAGAACTGGAAGGAATGGCGGCCAAAGGAGGTCTTGGCTTTGGGGATGACCAGTGAGAAATACCTGCTGGAGCGCATACTATGGGTGGGTGTTGCTATGGTGACCAATGAGCTAAGATAAGGCGGGGATTTGACTAGCAGTGATTTATAGATGACCTGGAGCCAGTGGGTTTGGCGACGAATATGTAGTGAGGGCCAGCCAACGAGAGCGTACAGGTCACAATGGTGGGTAGTATATGGGGCTTTGGTGATAAAACGGATGGCACTGTGATAGACTACATCCAATTTGCTGAGAAGAGTGTTGGAGGCTATTTTGTAAATGACATTGCCGAAGTCAAGGATCAGTAGGATAGTCAGTTTTACGAGGGCATGTTTGGCAGCATGAGTGAAGGAGGCTTTGTTGCGAAATTGGAAGCCGATTCTAGATTTAACTTTGGATTGGAGATGCTTAATGTGAGTCTGGAAGGAGAGTTTACGGTCTAACCAGACACCTAGGTATTTGTAGTTGTCCACATATTCTAAGTCAGACCGGCCAAGAGTAGTGATTCTAGTCGGGCAGGCGGGTGCAAGCAGCGTTCGATTGAAGAGCATGCATTTAGTTTTACTAGCGTTTAAGATCAGTTGGAGGCTACGGAAGGAGTGTTGTATGGCATTGAAGCTCGTTTGGAGGTTTGTTAACACAGTGTCCAATGAAGGGCCAGATGTATACAAAATGGTGTCGTCTGCGTAGAGCTGGATCTGAGAGTCACCAGCAGCAAGAGCGACATCATTGATATACACAGAGAATAGAGTCAGCCCGAGAATTGAACCCTGTGGCACCCCCATAGAGACTGCCAGAGGTCCAGACAACAGGCCCTCCGATTTGACACATTGAACTCTATCTGAGAAGTAGTTGGTGAACCAGGCCAAGCAGTCATTTGAAAAACCAAGGCTATTTAGTCTGCCAATATGAATGCGGTGATTGACAGAGTCGAAAGCCTTGGCCAGGTCGATGAAGACGGCTGCACAGTACTGTCTATTATCGATCGCGGTTATAATATCGTTTAGGACCTTGAGCGTGGCTGAGGTGCACCCATGACCAGCTCGGTAACCAGATTGCATAGCGGAGAAGGTACGGTGGGATTAGAAATGGTCGGTGATCTGTTTGTTAACTTGGCTTTCAAATACTTTCGAAAGGCAGGGAGCATACACTACCGGTCAAAAGTTTTAGAACACCTACTCATTCAAGGGTTTTTCTTTATTTTTACTATTTTCTACATTGTAGAATAATAATGAAGACATCAAAACTATGAAATAACACATATGGAATCATGTAGTAACCAAAAAAGTGTTTAACAAATCAAAATATATTTTATATTTGAGATTCTTCAAATAGCCACCCTTTGCCTTGATGAAAGCTTTGCACACTCTTGAATGAGTAGGTGTTCTAAAACATTTGTAAAGACAAGATTAGATCAAGAATAGTCTGATGGGTCACAATATTAGCCTATCACTGGTGAATGATATATTATCACTTGTGAATAATGCCCAGCTTGTGTGCAGTAAGGCCAGAAACAGAGCATGCCTTTTTTTTGCAACTTTTTCAAATCGTAGTCACACACCTCATGTAGCCTAGCCCATAGGCCTATATGTTTTGATAAGGTTTGTATCACAACTAAAGTGGCCAAATAACTTCTTAAAATTAAGCACATTAATCCGCTTTACAATGGGTGTAGAGCCTAACTGGCATACATTCTATAATAAAACCATAGATGCATAATTGCATTTGCGGTCACTTTTGAGAATGGTGTTTTCCCACTAATTGATTGCATTTTGGAATATTTGCACTCATAGCCTACTGACGTGTGCGCATTGCTGTACTTATAATGTGAAGAAATAGCCTAATAGTTTATCAACCTTTTAAGCGAAGCGTTCTGATATGTTGCGTCAGCCTCATTGTTTCAAAAAGTTTTTTTTTTAAATGCTAGTGGTTGTATTAATTTGGGATCTATCGCATCCCACAACTATCCCAGACTATGTTTGGAATATTTATTTCTCGCACAGAATAGAATAGTTCAACTTTCGTACTATGGGGGATAGTACATTGACATAGGCTAGTGCTTTTGGTGTTCGTTAGGCATACTCATCTTGTTGGCTGACAAAAATTAAATGTGAACAGTTCTTCAAATAACTTCAACATGCGCAGTTGCGTCCCCGATGTGTCTGTCTTCACTTGTAGACTGTGAGAAAGACCCATTCATGTGACGGCATTGGATAATAAGAATTTAGCTATCTGAGAGAGCCATGTGAGTGAGAGGTGCTTTGGAGCATGCAGCTGGGAGAAGGAAATTATTATTAGTATATTCAGCCGAAGGGCACAATGGCCACTGGCTGCTAAAGGCATGGATTTTTTTAGGGGGCATTAAGGCCACACAAAGGGGATGCTGCCTGGAAATTCGAGGCATTATCAAGTGCTTGTCAAATTGTGAATGAGAGACTGATGAAGTGTGTGGAGCCTGTGCAAAAAACAAAGCAGAGCTCATGCCTTTCATGCAACTTTTTTCAAATCATCATTAGAGTCACATCATGCAGCCTTGAATTGAAACATTTTGCCCAACGTTTGTATCACAACTAAAGTTACATAAATAAGGAGGAACTGTTTCTTTGTTAACCGCTCAACATAGAATAGCTGCATGTGCGCACTCCCTCAAATCGTTTGGTGAAAATATCCTTTCTATTTTATTAATGTTCAATTGTATTCTTCATACTATAAAATAATATAAAATAATGTCACGGAATTCTAAGCAAATCTTGTCTGCTAAATTAACTAGTGTAGCCCACAGCCATATGGCATAGCCAGTTCAGGGCCTAACATAAATACAACTCATTGTAAGCTATTCTGATGTTCTGAAATAGACTTCATTTTCTTCATATCATGTTTCTTTAGACATGTCTAAAATAAATAGATTTATTGTGATGGTGTAGGCTATATTACATGGATTTATTAGACTTTTTAAAATGTAGATGTTCTGAAAGGTCTGCATCAGTGTCTTGTAGGCTATGTGTGGAAGCTAGGAGATGCTAAATGTGTTTATGTTAATTAACGGTCAATTACCGTGAGACAGGCAGTTATTTGCTTGACAATCACCGGCTGACAAAATATCATGAACCGCCACAGCCCTACCTGAGACCTGAAGATTTGTATTAGCTCCCCAAGCTGATGCCTGGACTTTAGCTCAGCAGACTAACTCAATTATGGTGGCACGCAGATCACCCCAGTTCAAATCCAGTCGGTCACACTAATAATCATATTATTGTTATCAAAATCTTATACTACAATCAACCACATGTATTGCCTGACAGCCATATATTGTAATACTGTATCTGTTGTTCAAATGGGTTGCGGAGAGACTTTAATAGCTAAGACAAGTTTTCACAACAGCCAATGTTATTAACACTCGCCAGATGAAACCCTGCTGGCAAAGAGGGTCAGCTGTGACCGACCGTCAAAATGGGCTGCGTCCCAAATGGCACCCTATTCCCTATATAGTGCACTACTCATGACCAGAGCCCTATGGGCCTTGGTCAAAAGTACTCCATTATGTAGGAAAAGGGTGCCATTTGGGACTCAGCCAAGCCGTCTGCAAACTGCGAGGTCGAGGAAGCCTTATTATCAGGACGCTACGATGGAATTTGACTAGTGGCTGATTCAGATGAGTACGTCTTAGTTGTGACCTCAAGGCGTCAACACCCAGGACTCCATTAGAAAGTGCGTGCGGTGACAGACGACACCATGGAAGGACTCCAAAAGAGGGGCCAATGGGAGAGGACACAGAGTGAGAGAAGAGGAGAGAGGATGACAGGAGACTGTGGGTGGAATAAATTGTCATGAGAGTGTGTGTGTGTGTGGAAGAGCGAGAGAAAGAGAGAAGCTTGCTATACTATACCTGCATTCTACACATTTTTTGCCGAACCCCAAAAAGCAGCTAGTCAGAAGGTTTGCATTTTAGCGGCAACTCTGCAGGTTCTGCTACACCGCCTTAGAAACTTAGCATACAGCACATTTTACAAGAGCAGGAAGAGTCAAAAGATAGAATCCCATTCGAGAAGGTTGGCTGCAGGTGGCGGAGGTCATAAATGTGCAGTATGGCTCAATTGGTAGAGCATGGTGCCTGCAACGTCAATACCGTGGGTTCGATTCCTGCTAAATGGCATATGTTATTATTATTATTATTATTATTATTATTATTATTATTATTATTATATACAGTATTAGGATTTGTAATTGTAAAGGAGGGGAGTTAGTTTTCATGATGGCCTCTCTGTCAGGGCCATGGAGATGGAGAGGAGCTGTGGGGACAGACCAGATGGGTGCTGTACTGGTGGACCAGCAGGAGGATGCCTGCACAGCCTGAGAGACAGACTCTCTCACTCCTACACACACACACACAACTCTGCTCCATAATTCACAGGATCACATTTCTAACGCGTCTCTTTTTTACACTGACACAGTATTAATTAACGGGTTCTGAGACTCGGTAGGTCGTTTTTCATTTGTAAAATGACAATATCGGTCAGTCAGTGTTTGACTGATCTGTTAATTCCCTGAGTGCTTGCGTGTTTTGGCAGTGGCAGCCAGCTCCACCAGTAAGGGCTTCAGTGGGACATGGCAGCAGAGTCCGAGACACTGTGCAGGCCAGGCACTAGCAGAGACAGCTCTGGCGTTAGTGAGTGAGCTCACCAGCCAACCAGCAGGCTCCCATTCTGCAGCAGTGTCAAGAAAATAAACGACAATGTCCGTTAGAAATAATGACATGTTTGAGAGAGGGTGGACATATTCGTATTGTATGTGTGTGTGTGTGTGTGTGTGTGTTCGTGAGTGTGTGAGAGAGAGAGAGGGAGAGAGCAACAGAAAGGAAGACAGCGAGAGAGAGAGAGAGAGAGAGAGAGAGAGAGAGAGAGAGAGAGAGAGAGAGAGAGAGAGAGAGAGAGAGAGAGAGAGAGAGAGAGAGAGAGAGAGAGAGAGAGAGAGAGAGAGAGAGAAAGAGCGAGAGAGAAAGAAAGAGTAAGTGAATGGGTGAAGTTCAATTTGAGCACTGTTCTGTTTAGGTTGAGTGTCTGTTTCGCTGCAGCGTAATAAGTCACCTGGACTGGCCACTCGGTCGCGGTACGTAGGAATGTTGTCGTCCAGGGTCTGCAGCATGACCCACATAGTGAGCGTGAACATCCCCGCCAGGAAGCCATAGAAGACCAGGTAGAAAAGCAATATCAGGGCTGAGGAGAGAGAGAGAGAGAGAGAGAAATTATTATCTGTTAATCACACAATCTTGGCTCAACAGATCAAAAGCATTCTTCCCATCAGTGTAAGTCACATTACTTGATTCTTTGTCCCCAAAATTATTTTGGCAGTTTGACAGTGTGTGTGTGTGCACATGTTTTACTATACTTGTGAGGACACTTTGCAGGTCCTCACTTGTAAAAAGGGTATTTTAGGGTTAAGGTTAGGGTTATGGTTAGAATTAGGGTTAGGTTTAACCTTTTACTGCAGTGGGCTAAATCAGGGTCACAGAGTGTTTCTTGGTAGTCTTTAAAAAATCTACTTTGAATACACCTCACAGAAGACACCTGTACCATGTAAGATATAGAGTTGAAATGTATTACATTTTGAGTTTGTGTCACAATATTACCTTTACATACATCACAGAAGACTGAAATATAACAAAACCGTTTGACATAAAAGCACCGGATTTTCGGCAGGTTTTTATAAATAATATTTATTAATGATAAAATTAGGAAAAATATTAATAACATTCCACCCATGAGGGTGATTTGGTCATTTGACTGCAGGAAAGGGTTGTAACTATGGTAGGGGCTAAGGGTTAGGATTAGGGTTAGGTAAAATCGGATTTTGAATGGGAATCTCCAGCACACAGGTATTCTTACATGCTCCACAATACAAACCAAATGTATATTTTAATTTAAACCAGTCAACAAAGTTGTTTTAAGATCCATTACATTTATTCTCGAGCATACAGTCGTGGTCCAAAGTTGAGAATGACACAAATACACATTTTCACAAAGTCTGCTGCCTCAGTTTTGATGATGGCAATTTGCATATACTCCAGAATGTCATGAAGAGTGATCAGATTCATTGCAAAGTCCCTCTTTGCCATGAAAATGAACTTAATCCCCCCAAAACATTTCCACTGCATTTCAGCCCTGCCACAAAAGGACCAGCTGCCATCATGTCAGTGATTTTCTCGTTAACACAGGTGAGAGTGTTGACGAGGACAAGGCTGGAGATCACTCTGTCATGCTGATTGAGTTAGAATAACAGACTGGAAGCTTTAAAAGGAGGGTGGTGCTTGAAATCATTGTTCTTCCTCTGTTAACCATGGTTAACTGCAAGGAAAGACGTGCCGTCATCATTGCTTTGCACAAAAATGGCTTCACAGGCAAGGATATTGCTGCTAGTAAGATTGCACCTAAATCAACAATTTATCGGATCATCAAGAACTTCAAGGAGAGAGGTTCAATTCTTGTGAAGAAGGCGTCAGGGCACCCAAGAAAGTCCAGCAAGCACCAGGACCGTCTCCTAAAGTTGATTCAGCTGCGGAATCAGGGCACCACCAGTGCAGAGCTTGCTCAGGAATGGCATTAGGCAGGTGTGAGTGCATCTGCACGCACAGTGAGGCGAAGACTTTTGGAAGATGGCCTGGTGTCAAGAAGGGCAGCAAAGAAGTTACTTCTCTCCAGGAAAAAACATCAGGGATAGACTGATATTCTGCAAAAGGTACAGGGATTGGACTGCTGAGGACTGGGGTAAAGTCATTTTCTCTGATGAATCCCCTTTCCGGAGAAGACAAGGTGAGCGCTACCATTAGTCCTGTGTCATGCCAACAGTAAAGCATCCTGAGACCATTCATGTGTGGGGTTGCTTCTCAGCCAAGGGAGTGGGCTCACTCACATGTTTGCCTAAGAACACAGCCATGAATAATGAATGGTACCAACACATCCTTCGAGAGCAACTTCTCCCAACCATCCAAGAACAGTTTGGTGACGACCAATGCCTTTTCCAGCATGATGGAGCACCTTGCCATAAGGCAAAAGTGATAACTAAGTGGCTCGGGGAACAAAACATCGACATTTTGGGTCCATGGCCAGGAAACTCCACAGACCTTAATCCCATTTTGAACTTGAGGTTGATCCTCAAGAGGCGGGTGGACAAACAAAAACCCACAAACTCCAAGGATTGATTATGCAAGAATGGGCTGCCATCAGTCAGGATGTGGGACAGAAGTTAATTGACAGTATGCCAGGGCGGATTGCAAAGGTCTTGAAAAATGGATATCCCTGGTGTCTAATGGATGAAGAATAGAGAGCTTAGAGATACAGTACATATATAAACTGTATATAGTGCATTCGGAAAGTATTCAGACCCCTTGACTTTTTCCACATTTTGTTACGTTCCAGCCTTATTCTAAAATGTATTAAATAAAATGTTTTCCTCATCAATCTACACACAATACCCCATAATCACAAACCAAAAACAGAAATACCTTATTTACATGAGTATTCAGACCCTTTGCTATGAGACTCGAAATTGAGCTCAGGTGCATCCTGTTTCCATTGATCATCCTTGAGATGTTTCTACAACTTGATTGGAGTCCACCTGTGGTAAATTCAATTAATTGAACATGATTTGGAAAGGTACACACCTGTCTATATAAGCTCCCACAGTTGACAGTGCATGTCAGAGAAAAAGCAAGCCATGAGGTGGAACGAATTGTCCGTAGAGCTCAGAGACAGGATTGTGTCGAGGCACAAAACATTTCTGCAGCATTGAAGATCACCAAGAACACACTGGCCTCCATCATTCTTAAATGGAAGAAGTTTGGAACAACCAAGACTCTTCCTATAGCTGTCCACCCGGCCAAACTGAGCAATCGGGGGAGAAGGGCCTTGGTCAGGGAGGTGGCCAAGAACCCGATGGTCACTCTGACAGAGCTCCAGAGTTCCTCTGTGGAGATGGGAGAACCTTCCAGAAGGACAACCATCTCTGCAGCACTCCACCAATCTGGCCTTTATGGTAGAGTGGCCAGACGGAAGCCACTCAGTAAAAAGGCACATGACAGCCCGTTTGGAGTTTGCCAAAAGGCACCTAAAGGACTCTCAGACCATGAGAAACAAGATTCTCTGGTCTGATGAAACCAAGATTGAACTCTTTGGCCTGAATGCCAAGCGTCACATCTGGAGGAAACCTGGCACCATCCCGACAGTGCATCATGCTGTGGAGATTCTATCAGCGGCAGGGACTGGGAGACTAGTCAGGATCGAAGGAAAGATGAATGGAGCAAAGTACAGAGAGATCCTTGATGAAAACCTGCTCCAGAGCGCTCAGGACCTCAGACTGGGGTGAAGGTTCACCTTCCAACAGGACAACGACCCTAAGCACACAGCCAAGACAATGCAGGAGTGGCTTCGGGACAAGTCTCTGAATGTCCTTGAGTGGCCCAGCCAGAGCCCGGACTTCAACCCGATCGAACATCTCTGGAGAGACCTGAAAATAGCTGTGCAGCAACGATCCCCATCCAACCTGACAGAGCTTGAGAGGATCTGCAGAGAAGAATGGGAGAAACTCCCCAAACACAGGTGTGCCAAGCTTGTAGCGTCATACCCAAGAAGACTCGAGGCTGTAATCGCTGCCTAAGGTGCTTCAACAAAGTACTGAGTAAAGGGTCTGAATACTTATGTAAATGTGATATTTCAGTTATTTATTTATACATTTGCAAAAAATTGTTTTTGCTTAATCATTATGGGGTATTGTGTGTAGATTGATGAGTGGGGAAAAAAACAATTTAATCAATTTTAGAATAAGGCTGTAACGTAACAAAATGTGGGAAAAGTAAAGGGGTCTGAATACTTTCCAATTGCACTGTATACCAGATCTCTATGGTAGGGAGTGACTATTACACAACCATGCATGGTATCTCTACAGAAACACTGAGGCTCAGGGAAGAGCCCACTCACAGCAATAGAGTTACACATAGAGAAAGAGAGGGGAATACAAAGAAAGGGGAGCGAGAGAGATACAAAATTAAAGAGAAAAAGGTTAAAATAGGCGGGTGAGAAAGGCACAAAATGGTTGAATGAGCTACAGAGAGATCTTCAGAAGGATGTGAAAGGATACAGTGCTACACAGCACAGAGAGAGAGATGTATCCTAGACAGACAAAAAACACATGTAAATACATATGAAGAGGTATTGTATAAAGAGAAGACAGGATGGATCGAGATGGTGTGTGAGAGAAAAAGATAGAGAGAGCTTCAGTTTAATTATAGATGCATTGCTTCTTTCCTGAAGTCTCTGAGGTAAGCTGTGCGTTTATAAATAGAATGTGGGGGAGGACAGATAAGTGATGGCACATCACTGGCCTGAGGAAGAGAAGAGCTGGGTAGGGAGCGTCAGATGGATCAGAGCTACACACAAACGCACACACGGATATGGACACACACACGCACACACACATACATAATCAAATCCTCATCTATCACAGCGTTAGTGCAAGACTGACAAACGCACGCATACATGAACGCACGCACGCACACACAGCTTTAGATGGCAGGCTCATGTAAAATCAATGTAGAATCCACTCTGATTAAATCAGATAGACCTCTCTTTTTTAATGTCTCAACAAAACACCGGAAATCTATTCGACCACTTTTGATGCTATACAGTGGCTTGTGAAAGTATTCACCCCCCTTGGCATTTTTCCAATTTTGTTGCTTTACAACCTGGAATTAAAATGGATTCTTTGGGGGGTTTGTATCATTTGATTTACACAACATAACTACCACTTTGAAGATGCAAAATATTTTTTCTTGTGAAACAAACAAGAAATAAGACAATAAAACAGAAAACTTGAGCGTGCATAACCATTCACCCCCCCCCCCAAAGTCAATACTTTGTAGAGCCACCTTTTGCTGCAATTACAGCTGCAAGTCTCTTGGGGTATGTCTCTATAAGCTTGGCACATCTAGCCACTGGGATTTCTGCCCATTCTTCAAGGCAAAACTGCTCCAGTTCCTTCAAGTTGGATGGGTTTCGCTGGTGTACAGCAATCTTTAAGTCATACCACAGATTCTCAATTGGATTGAGGTCTGGGCTTTGACTAGGCCATTCCAAGACATTTAAATGTTTCCCCTTAAACATTTACATTTTTACATTTACATTTACGTCATTTAGCAGACGCTCTTATCCAGAGTGACTTACAAATTGGTGCATTCACCTTATAGCCAGTGGGATAACCACTTTACAATGTTTTTATTTTATTTTTATTTTTTGGGGGGGGGGGGGGGGGGGGGGGGGGGGGGGGTAGAAGGATTACTTTATCCTATCCCAGGTATTCCTTAAAGAGGTGGGGTTTCAAATGTCTCCGGAAGGTGGTGAGTGACTCCGCTGTCCTGGCGTCGGTTCCACCATTGGGGTGCCAGAGCAGCGAACAGTTTTGACTGGGTAAACCACTCGAGTGTTGCTTTAGCAGTGGGCTTAGGGTCATTGTCCTTCTGGAAGGTGAACCTCCGTCCCAGTCTCAAATCTCTGGAAGACTGAAACAGGTTTCCCTCAATAATTTCCCTGTATTTAGCGCCATCCATCATTCCTTCACTTCTGACCAGTTTCCCAGTCCCTGCCGATGAAAAACATCCACACAGCATGATGCTGCCACCACCATGCTTCACTGTGGGGATGGTGTTCTCGGGGTGATGTGAGGTGTTGGGTTTGCACCAGACATAGCGTTTTCCTTGATGGCCAAAAAGCTCAATTTTAGTCTCGAGAGGTACCAGAGTACCTTCTTCCATTTGTTTGGGGAGTCTCCCACATGGGTTTAGCAAACATCAAACGTTTTCTTTAAGCAATGGCTTTTTTCTGGCCACTCTTCCGTAAAGCCCAGCTCTGTGGAGTGTACGGCTTAAAGTGGTCCTATGGACAGATACTCCAATCTACGCTGTGGAGCTTTGCAGCTCCTTCAGGGTTATCTTTGGTCTCTTTGTTGCCTCTGAATAATGCCTTTCTTGCCTGGTCCGTGAGTTTTGGTGGGCAGCCTTCTCTTGGCAGGTTTGTTGTGGTGTCATATTCATTCCATTTTTTAAATAATGGATTTAATGGTGCTCCGTGGGATGTTCAAAGTTTCTGATATTATTTTATAACCCAACCCTGATCTGTGCTTGTCCACAACTTTGTCCCTGACCTGTTTGGAGAGCTTCTAGGTCTTCATGGTGCCGCTTGCTTGGTGGTGCCCCTTGCTTAGTGGTGTTGCAGACTCTGGGGCCTTTTAGAACAGGTGTGTATATATACTGAGATCATGTGACAGATCATGTGACACTTAGATTGCACACAAGTAGACTTTATATAACTAATTATGTGACTTATGAAGGTAATTGGTTGCACCAGATCTTATTTAGGATTACTTCCTACCAAAGGGGGTGAATACATACGCACGCACCACTTTTCCGATATTTATTTTTTATAATTTTTTGAAACAAGTATTTTATTTTATTTCACTTCACCAATTTGGACTATTTTGTGCATGTCCATTACATGAAATCCAAATAAAATCCATTTAAATTACAGGTTGTAATGCAACAAAATATGAAAAACGCCAAGGGGGATGAATACTTTTGCAAGACACTGTAACTGGAATTGGGATTGACACTCCAACATATCCTCTTGGAGCACTGTCGGGATGTATCCAGTCACACCACTCCCCCAAAAAACAGCCAGCATTAGAAAGCCATATCCATCGGAAAGCCATTGGTAATTAGGACTGAGAAGCAGTACTGGGATGCCAAGTGCTTTTATCTCCTCAGAATAGCGGAGTGTGACCTTTCAGGAAGCCTCCGTCCCAAATGGCACCCAATTCCCTATATAGTGCACTATTTTTCGACCAGAGCCTGTACCCTGGTGAAAAGTAGTGCACTATATATACAGTGCATTCGGAAAGTATTCAGACCCCTTGACTTTTTCCACATTTTGTTACATTACAGCCTTATTCTAAAATTGATTAAATAGATTTTCCCACTCATCAATGTACACACAATACCCCACAATGACAAAACAAAAACAGTTTTTTTTAAATGTTTGCAAAAAAACTAATACATTACTGAAATATCACATTTACATAAGTATTCAGACCCTTTACTCAGTACTTTGTTGAAGCACCTTTGGCAGTGATTACAGCCTCTAGTATTTTGGGTATGACGCTACAAGCTTGGCACACCTGTATTTGGGGAGTTTCTCCCATTCTTCTCTGCAGATCCTCTCAAGCTCTGTTAGGTTGGATGGGGAGCAATGCTGCACAGCTATTTCCAGGTCCCTCCAGAGATGTTAGATTGGGTTCAAGTCCGGGCTCTGGCTGGGCCACTCCAGGACTTTCCGAGACTTGTCCCGAAGCCATTCCTGCGTTGTCTTGGCTGTGTGCTTAGAGTCGTTGTCCTGTTGGAAGGTGAACTTTGCCCCAGTCTGAGGTCCTGAGCGCGCTGGAGCAGGTTTTCATCAAGGATCTCTCTGTTCTTTGCTCCGTTCATCTTTCCCTCAATCCTGACTAGTCTCCCAGTCCCTGCCGCTGAAAAACATCCCCACAGCATGATGGGTTCTTGGTCACCTCCCTTACCAAGGCCCTTCTCCCCTGATTGCTCAGTTTGGCCGGGCGGCCAGCTCTAGGAAGTGTCTTAGTGGTTCCAAACTTCTTCCATTTAATAATGATGGAGGCCACTGTGTTCTTGGGGATCTTCAATGCTGCAGAAATGTTTTGGTACCCTTCCCCAGATCTTATATAGTGTGCGCCTTACCAAATCATGTCCAATCAATTGAATTTACCACAATTGGACTCCAATCAAGTTGTAGAAACATCTCAAGGATGATCAATGGAAACAGGATGCACCTGAGCTCAATTTCAAGTCTCATAGCAAAGTGTCTGAATACTTATGTAAATAAGGTATTTCTGTTTTTATTTTTTTAATCAATTTGCACAATTTTCTAAAAAACAGTTTTCGCTTTGTCATTTTGGGTTATTGTGTGTAGATTGATGAGGATTTTAAAAAATTTAATCTATTTTAGAATAAGGCTGTAACATTAAACAAAATGTGGAAAAAGTCAAGGGGTCTGTACACTTTCCGAATGCACTGTATATATATAGGGAATAGGGTGCCTTTTGGGACGCAGCCCTGTTCTCAGGAGCTAGGGAGGGAGAGGCTGGGCTGCCATTGACTAGCGTCGACTCTGCAGTTGTTAAAGCATCGATCCTGGGCTCGGATCAATCAACCATCAGTCTGCAGTGGAAGGGATGGAGGAGGCAAGGACCAGAGGGCGAAGGGAGGTTCATATTCATTAGTGGTTCTGGTAGCGGTGCCTCCATTCTCTTCTTACCCCAACCGTTATGTTAACCAATCACTAGCATGCCTAAACCTAACCACTTACTAGCTTTCCTCATGGGAGTATGTTGCTCTCATAGTTAGGGCCAGGAGTTTTTTCTGACCAGCTGTGTTTGCGCTTGCCTCATTTTGTAAAGGCCATGTAATTGGGAAAAACACCCATGCCCTACTCATGGTACTTTAAAGACAAGAAGCTCCTGCGCACTGCGATTGCAAGGTATCCCCTTTAGCCATCCACATTAATTGAACACTGCAACAGCAGCACTTCTGTCTCCTCCATTCCTTCTGGTCAGTACTCCCACTACCCTCATCGAATCCTACCCACATACTGCACAGTACACTCCCTGCATCTAAATCATCTGTCCTTTCTCCCCAAGTGTGCATTGTGCACTCCTCACAAAAGCATTGGATTGGTGTAATCATGGGCTAGACAGAGTTTCCACCACATTTCTTATACCAGACTGAGTCTGTAATACCAACATGTTTCAAGCAGACCACCATAGTCCCCGTGCCCAAGAACTCTAAGATAACCTGCCTAAATGACTACCGACCCGTGGCACTGACGTCTGTAGCCATGAAGTGCTTTGAAAGACTGGTCATGGCTCACATCAACAGCATAATCCCAGAAACCCTAGACCCACTCCAATTTGCATACCGCCCCAACAGATCCACAGATGATGCAATCTCTATCGCACTCCACACTGCCCTTTCCCACCTGGACAAGAGGAACACCTACGTGAGAATGCTATTCATTGACTACAGCTCAGCATTCAACACCATAGTGCCCTCAAAGCTCATCACTAAGCTAAGGATCCTGGGACTAAACACCTCCCTCTGCAACTGGATCCTGGACTTCCTGACGGGCCGCCCCCAGGTGGTAAGGGTAGGTAACAACACATCTGCCACACTGATCCTCAACACGGGGGCCCCTCAGGGGTGCGTGCTCAGTCCCCTCCTGTACTCTCTGTTCACCCATGACTGCATGGCCAGGCACGACTCCAACACCATCATTAAGTTTGCCGACGACACAACAGTGGTAGGCCTGATCACCGACAACGATGAGACAGCCTATAGGGAGGAGGTCAGAGATCTGGCCGTGTGGTGCCAGGACAACAACCTCTCCCTCAACGTGACCAAGACAAAGGAGATGATTGTGGACTACAGGAAAAAAAAGAGGACTGAGCACGCCCCCATTCTCATCGACGGGGCTGTAGTGGAACAGGTTGAGAGCTTCAAGTTCCTTGGTGTCCACATCACCAACGAACTATCATGGTCCAAACACACCAAGACAGTCGTGAAGAGGGCACGACAAAGCCTATTCCCCCTCAGGAGACTAAAAAGATTTGGCATGGGTCCTCAGATCCTCAAAAAATTCTACAGCTGCACCATCGAGAGCATCCTGACTGGTTGCATCACCGCCTGGTATGGCAACTGCTTGGCCTCTGACCGCAAGGCACTACAGAGGGTAGTGCGTACGGCCCAGTACATCACTGGGGCAAAGCTCCCTGCCATCCAGGACCTCTATACCAGGCGGTGTCAGAGGAAGGCCCTCAAAATTGTCAAAGACTCCAGTCACCCTAGTCATAGACTGTTCTCTCTGCTACCGCACGGCAAGCGGTACCGGAGTGCCAAGTCTAGGTCCAAAAGACTTCTCAACAGCTTCTACCCCCAAGCCATAAGACTCCTGAACAGCTAATCATGGCTACCCGGACTATTTGCACTGCCCCCCCACCCCATCCTTTTTACGCTGCTGCTACTCTGTTAAGTATTTATGCATAGTCACTTTAACTCTACCCACATGTACATATTGCCTCAACTGCCTCAACTGGCCGGTGCCCCCGCACATTGACTATGCAACGGTACCCCCCTGTATATATAGCCTCCCTACTGTCACTTTATTCTATTGTATATATAGCCTCCCTACTGTCACTTTATTTTTTACTTCTGCTCTTTTTTTCTCAACACTTTTTTGTTGTTGTTTTATTCTTACTTTTTTGTTTAAAATAAATGCACTGTTGGTTAAGGGCTGTAAGTAAGCATTTCACTGTAATGTCTACACCTGTTGTATTCGGCGCATGTGACCAATAAAATTTGATTTGATTTGATTTGAGATCTGGTCTTTTTAAGGGAAGTGAACAAGTGCACACTTTGGGAGAAAGGACTCCCTGGATTAAATAAAGGTTCAAAGTATGCTCTCTCACCTATTCCCTCTGTCCCTGTCTCAAAGTTATCCCACTCCTCCTCACTACACTCACACTTATTCACCTTGCAGCAAACTGCACCACTATCAATTAACTTCCTCCGCTCCCAGTCTCTCCTCCTCATCCCCCCTACTCTCTCACACATAATCCTGCTCCCCTCACCCTGACAGCCTCTCCTCACCCCCCAACTCTCTTACACAGTCTCCTTTGTCCCGACTCCCCATTAACACCATCTGACATTGGGAGCACAACTGCACTCATTCATTAATCACTGCCTTCTAGGGTTGAATGGCGGGGACCCGATTACCGTTATTTACCGCCCAAAACCACTCCCTTTTCCCGGGATAAATAACTGAGAGAAACCGTTAAATTATAATAAATTATTTAAATGAACAGCATTGCGTGAAATCGAACTGTTAAATTACATGCTATGTCTAAATCAGGCTCCTCTACTGCATGATGAATCATCGCTTAGGGTGGAGACAGACAGCCCATTTCCATCTGGCTTTCGGGGGTCACCTTGTTTTTAATTGTAAAGATTTTTATTTTTTATTTTTTACAGCCTATCACTCGAATATCGTTGCTTTAAATCAGTGCACGTGCGAGAACTCTCTCGCAGTCTTTTCTCTCTCTCCATCAACTCCATTCAAATTACATCCAAAATAGATAATCCTGTTCTAGATTGATATATAACCCTATATATAGATGTCCTAGCCTACTTCTTTCAGATAATACATTAAATGCAGTATTAGCCTTATATTTAGCTAATTAATGATGGGTTATGCATAATAAGCTTCTAACTTATAGCCTCTGTCTCTTGTGCAATACGCAAACACCTGTACTCCACTGGCCTTTCCTTCAAAAACGTTCCTTTGCTCTTGGAGTCCCATGCAGGAAAAGCTAGACTAGAATAGCTCGATGGACATAACTTTTTTTTTGAAAGAAGAGCGAACGCGCGATGGCGGTAGGCTATAACAGTTATTTATTCAGAACCATAACCATTCAATCTTCATGAAGACAAGTGAAAGCCTATATTATTCAAGGATGTCATTAGAATGATGAAGATAAGGACAATGAAACGTATTTCATTTAACTGTTGAAAGCGAGAAAGGGATGAAACAATAGCGAGAGAAAGAGGAGGTAGGCTAATAACAATAGGGAAAATATTATTAAAGGTACTGTATATACAGTATGTGTCAGCCTACTAATTATACAAATATATTATATTTCAAAATTAAAATCGCTAGCCTATACTTGCATGTTCTCTTCTGCTTTATCATGGTTTGAAAGATGTGCATAATTCCAGTCCATATAATACAATACAGTAATACAGTTCACACTCAAAACAATTAACATACTGGAGCTAGCTTAATATATTTACCCAAGAGAGCATATACAGTCGTGGCCAAAAGTTGTGAGAATGACAGTAGTATTGGTATTGGTCTTCACAAAGTTCGCTGCTTCAGTGTTTTTAGATATTTTTGTCAGATGTTAGTATGGTATACTGAAGTACAATTACAAGCATTCCATAAGTGTCAAAGGCTTTTATTGACATTTACATTAAGTTTATGCAAAGAGTCAATATTTGCAGTGTTGACCTTTCTTTTTCAAGACCACTGCAATCTGCCCTGGCATGCTGTCAATTAACTTCTGGCCCACATCCTGACTGATGGCAGCCCATTCTTGCATAATCAATGCTTGGAGTTTGTCAGAATTTCTGGGGTTTTGTTTGTCCATCCGCCTCTTGAGGATTGACCACAAGTTCTCAATGGGATTAAGGTCTTGGGAGTTTCCTGGCCATGGACCCAAAATGTCGATGTTTTGTTCCCCGAGCCACTTAGTTATCACTTTTGCCTTATAGCAAGGTGCTCCATCATGCTGGAAAAGGCATTGGTTGTCACCAAACTGTTCTTGGATGGTTGGGAAAAATTGCTCTCGGAAGATGTGTTGGTACCATTCTTTATTCATGGCTGTGTTCTTAGGCAAAATTGTGAGTGAGCCCACTCCCTTGGCTGAGAAGCAACCCCACACATGAATGGTCTCAAGGTGTTTTCCGGATGCCCCAAACAATCGGAAAGGGGATTCATCAGAGAAAATGACTTTACCCCAGTCCTCAGCAGTCCAATCCCTGTACCTTTTGCAGAATATCAGTCTGTCCCTGATGTTTTTCCTGGAGAGAAGTGGCTTCCTCACTGCCCTTCTTGACACCAGGCCATCCTCCAAAAGTCTTCGCCTCACTGTGCGTGCAGATGCACTCACACCTGCCTGCTGCCATTCCTGAGCAAGCTCTGCACTGGTGGTGCCCCAATCCCGCAGCTGAATCAACTTTAGGAGACGGTCCTGGTGCTTGCTGGACTTTCTTGGGTGCCCTGATGCCTTCTTCACAACAATTGAACCTCTCTCCTTGAAGTTCTTGATGATCCGATAAATGGTTGATTTAGGTGCAATCTTACTAGCAGCAATATCCTTGCCTGTGAAGCCCTTTTTGTGCAAAGCAATGATGACGGCACGTGTTTCCTTGCAGGTAACCATGGTTAACAGAGGAAGAACAATGATTTCAAGCACCACCCTCCTTTTAAAGCTTCCAGTCTGTTATTCTAACTCAATCAGCATGACTGAGTGATCTCCAGCCTTGTCCTCGTCAACACTCTCACCTGTGTTAACGAGAGAATCACTGACATGATGTCAGCTGGTCCATTTGTGGCAGGGCTGAAATGCAGTGGAAATGTTTTTTGGGGATTAAGTTAATTTTCATAGCAAAGAGGGACTTTGCAATTAATTGCAATTCATCTGATCACTCTTCATAACATTCTGGAGTATATGCAAATTTCCAACATAAAAACTGAGGCAGCAGAATTTGTGAAAATTAATATTTGTGTCATTCTCAAAAAACTTTTGACCATGACTGTACAGTTGAAGTTGGAAGTTTATGTACACTTAGGTTGGAGTCATTAAAACTAGTTTTTCAACCACTCCACAAATTTCTTGTTAACAAACTATAGTTTTGGCAAGTCGGTTAGGCCATCTACTTTGTGCATGATACAAGTAATTTTTCCAACAATTGTTGTTTATTTCACTTATAATTAACTGTATCACAATTCCAGTGGGTCAGAAGTTTACATACACTAAATTGACTGTGCCTTTAAACAGCTTGGAAAATTCCAGAAAATGATGTCATGGCTTTAGAAGCTTCTGATAGGCTAATTGACATCATTTGAGTCAAGTGGAGGTGTACCTGTGAATCTATTTCAAGGCCTACCTTCAAACTCAGTGCCTCTTTGCTTGACATCATGGGAAAATCAATAGAAATCTGCCAAGACCTCCACAAGTTTGTAGACCTCCACAAGTCTGGTTCATACTTGAGAGCAATTTCCAAACGCCTGAAGGTACCACGTTCATCTGTACAAACAATAGTACGCAAGTATAAACACCATGGGACCACGCAGCCGTCATACCGCTCAGGAAGGAGACGCGTTCTGTCTCCTAGAGATGAACGTACTTTGGTGCGAGAAGTGCAAATCAATCCCAGAACAACAGCAAAGGACCTTGTGAAGATGCTGGAGGAAACAGGTACAAAATGATCCATATCCACAGTAAAACAAGTCCTATATCGACATAACCTGAAAGGCCGCTCAACAAGGAAGAGGCCACTGCTCCAAAACCACCATAAAAAAAGGCAGACTACGGTTTGCAACTGCACATGGGGACAAAGATCTTACTTTTTGGAGAAATGTCCTCTGGTCTGATGAAACAAAAATAGAACTGTTTGGCCATAATGACCATCGTTATGTTTGGAGGAAAAAGGGGGTTGCTTGCAAGCCGAAGAACCCCATTCCAACCATGAAGCACAGGGGTGGCAGCATCATGCTGTGGGGGTGCTTTGCTGCAGGAGGGACTGTCACAAAATAGATGGCATCATGAGGAAGGAAAATTATGTGGATATATTGAAGCAACATCTCAAGACATCAGTCAGGAAGTTAAAGCTTGGTCGCAAATGGGTCTTCCAAATGGACAATGACCCCAAGCATACTTCCAAAGTTGTGGCAAAATGGCTTAAGGACAACAAAGTCAAGGTATTGGAGTGGCCATCGCAAAGCCCTGACCTCAATCCTATAGAAAATGTTTGGGCAGAACTGAAAAAGCATGTGTGAGCAAGGAAGCCTACAAACCTGACTCAGGTACACCAGCTCTGTCAGGAGGAATGGGCCAAAATTCACCCAACTTATTGTGGGAAGCTTGTGGAAGGCTACCCAAAACGTTTGACCCAAGTTAAACAATTTAAAGGCAATGCTACCAAATACTAATTGAGTGTATGTAAACTTCTGACCAATTGGGAATGTGATTAAATAAATAAAAGCTGAAATAAATCATTCTCTCTACTATTATTCTGACATTTCACATTCTTAAAATAAAGTGGTGATCCTAACTGACCTAAGACAGGGAATTTTTTACTAGGATTACATTTCAGACGGAGTTTAAATGTATTTGGCTAAGGTGTATGTACATTTCCTACTTCAACTGTAGCTAGCTACATCTATGGGCTTTTATGTTTTTCTGTCGTGCATAATGTGCAGTATCCTATATCATATATGTATTAGAAATGGCACAATCATTTGGGATTTTTTGGGCTTGGGCTCATTAAATGTCATTAATGTAGGGCTCATAACATGTATTTAACGTAAGGCTCATCAGGCTCAGGTAGCATCAGGGTTGAATTTTCATGCTGATCAAAGCTCTAAGACATATTTATATGCTTTATAATGCTTTTGAATGACACCGGTTTTGGCAGGAAATACCGGGTTACCCGGGAGAAAAGTGATTTATTCTCGGGATGGAACATTTGTAAAATACCGGGAAAATATTCAATCCTACTGCCATCCTTAGGCCACATTACTTCAGACAGACTTTTTGTATTTCGTAAAAAAACGGATAGAGCCTTTTGCTTTTCTATATTGATGGATGATGGGCTATCTGTAATTTGTCTGACATTTCATACATGTCAAAAGTTGAAATTAGTGAATTTTTTATGTTTAATTAATCTTTGTCCGGGCTAGTGGGTCCAGACCCTTCCACTCATCTTTTCCACTGCTCACGTTCTTTACTTGGTCGCCAGTAACTGAACCTTGTCAACCACATACTTCAATGATGGGCCGTGGGGGTTATTAATACCCAAAGGAGGACTAGGGGTGTGGGTGTCCCAGGGAATGGTGGATGTCCAAGAAAAAGTGAAGACTAAGGGTGGGGTGTGTGTGTGTGTGTGTGTGTGTGTGTGTCAGGAGGAGTGAGGATCAGGTGTGTGTGTGTGTGCGGGTGTGGTCTAGGGGTGCGTTGTGTGAATGTGTCCCTGGGGTAGTGTGGACCAGCGGTGTGGAGGTGTACATTACAGAGCCCAAGGAATGCCAAGAACATGTGGTGGGCAATCAGATAGCTCTTTGGGAAAGTTTTTAAACTTCTGTACAGTGACACGCATGAGTGCATGGTCTCTCCACAGGCCTTGGTGCTATCCTTACTTTTTCCACGCACCCATGTCAACATACACACGCACATAGAGGAACACAAATATGCAATTACACACACACCACGTCTCTCACACACCAGCCCGGTTCGTGCAACATAGGTAATTTATTTCCATGTTCATACCAGGCCCGTGACTCAAACCAACCCTTACCCTTTAACCTTAAACCTAATCCCAGTCCAAGACAGAGTCACACTCGCTGACCACCACAGACAAGCTCACTCTCCCTGCTTGTCTCATTACACTATGATCAGAGCCGGCTGCAGACAATGATCAGCTAGGGGGAAATCAGATTTTCATTTTTATTCTATTTTCATAATTATATAAAATATATGCAACAAATGTTCCACCAACAGCTTTCTGTGCCAATGCACATCACTAAACCAATAACAACGTATAAGTGCATACCGATTGCTGACTTCGAGTGCTTATCATTATGGTTTGCGTTTTCAACACCACAATCAAGTATGTAAATCTCGACAAACAGAAAATCCACCCCTCCCTACTTAGTATCAAAGGCTTGGCTCCGAATGTCATTATACCTTCTGGTGTTTCGTAACAGATGTCTATTTCCATTAATCGAATGGCTGTTGCACAGTTTGGATGCTGGAATTATATTGGAGTGGATGAACATGCACAGGTAGCCTATAGGAGACTTTTGAATTAGCCTAATCAGATTACAACATTGTGACTAGTTGTGTTTATGCCACACAATAGAAGGTAATACATTTTAAAAGTTAAATGACAAATATTTAGGAACATAGGCATATGTGGCCACATAGGACGACTTGGGAGAATGATGATGGGCAACAGACAGTGCATCAGTATCAGAATTAAAAATACAACCAGACTATCATGCTACTGTGCCTTTCTATAATCCTTCGAGAGTAGACCTACAACTGATCCAAATGGAATGAAACGTTCAAATAATAGGTTTTTTTGCGCCATTATTCAAATGTCATTTTCACTGCAGTTTACAGCCTAGAGTAGAATTGTACTCAATTGCATTCACTTGAAAACAATAATACAATTATTAACTGGATTGTGGTGTTATAGGCTAGTCTACGTAGAATAATTGTATTGTCCCTAAACAAGATCAATACGGGAGCTTTTTGAGCTGTGTGTCTTCACTGTTCTTTCATTCGTAATGACGCACCTGGCCACTCCACTGCCTATCAGCTATTCCTCTATATTGTGGATTTATATTGAACATTTTAGCATTTGAAGAAGTTTGAATAACTGTCCACATGTAGTTTCTCAGCCAACAAGCAAAATCACTAGTCTATGTCACGTGTCAAACTGATTCCACGGAGGGCCGAGTGTCTGTGGGTTTTCGCTCCACCCTCGTACTTGATTGATGAAGTAAGGCCACTAATTAGTAAGGACATCCCCTCACCTGGTTGTATAAGTCTTAATTGAAAGTAAAAACCCAAAACCCGCAGACACTTGGCCCTCTGTGGAAGGAGTTTGACACCCCTGGTCTATATCAATATACTATTCCCCATGGTAGAAAGGTTTTCCTATTCTATAGGTCAGCTTGTCGTTCTGTGCGAGAAAGAAATAGCCTGTTCCAAACTGACTCTGGGACAGTTGTGGGACGATAGATCCCAAATTCATACAACCAGTAGGCCTAGGCTACATAAAAATAAAAAATAAATAAGCAATGAGGCTTATGAAAAAGATCAGAACGTTTCGCTTAAAATGTTGATAAATTATTATTTCTGCACATTGCGCACAAGGCATTAGGCTACGAGCGAATGTTTGTTCCATAATGCAATTAGTGGCAAAACACCATTGTCAAAAGCACGCTGCACATGCAAGCGGTTTCATGAGACAGATGAAAATATCCATTAGAAATGTAAAAAGAGGGGGAGATCTAAAAATGCAACAACTAACATGGGTTGCTAATATGACTAGGATTGTGCCTTTTGGCTACTGGACAATGAAAGAAAGTTGATTTGAAAACCAATACAACATGAAAGAAATAGGCTACTGGTTTCAATGGCATATGGAAGTCTTTATAAAATAATTGCCTCCACGTTTGGTCGTATTTTGCCTGGGCTACTTTGAAGCAAGCCTCAGTAGTCCTCTGTAGCTCAGCTGGTAGAGCACGGCGCTTGTAACGCCAAGGTAGTGGGTTCGATCCCCGGGACCACCCATACACAAAAAAAATGTATGCACGCATGACTGTAAGTCGCTTTGGATAAAAGCGTCTGCTAAATGGCATATTATTATTATTATTATATTGCCTCATAATATGTGGTAAAAATGTTCAGGTTTCAAACAATTAAGTTTATGTTTTCAAAATGCATACTGCCTGCAGCTCATGTGCTGAAGCCTGCCCACTGTTATATGCACTTGAATGGCAAATGGGAAGTGCACTTCAATTACCAGTTGAGAAATCAAATAGCTATGACAGCTTTTCTGCTTAAACTAGGCTAATTTCTGTATGCTGTACATGTGTGATAAAATAAGAATCATAACAACTAACGAAAATCCTAGGAGTGTGCCGACATGGCCATACTCGTATTCGTAATCGTATCCGTACATTGACAGTTGATAGTCGGATCGGATGATACTCGTGATCTGAAAAAACGGAAGTGTTTTAATATGCTTAAGTAGATGTGTGGAAAATACCTCCCTGCACGTTCTCACTGCAAAAAAGCTGCAGATTAGGAGCAACGCGCAGAGGGTGTGCGAGTGTCTCTGTGTGTCCTCAATTTGCAGCGGGCAGCCATGTTTGCTGTCACTCAGTCAGAATGCGCATCAGCGTTTCATCTTTTTTTCCCTACTCTTGTGCGGCTTGTTAGATATTATGCACATTGACAGGTTGATAGCAAACGCCCTTGCCATGTGATTTATCATAGTAGCAGGCAGCAGCAATCTAAATGATCATACCATAAACATGCAAGGAAATTATGAAGCGAGTGTATGGAGAAATACAGCTTCACTCTATCCAATCAAGGCAGCAGGATCAACGTGCAGCCCGCCCTTCTCTTTAAAGACAGCCAGTTGAGTTATTTAGACCACGTAGAACCTTGCACATGACTAACTAACATGCGAAAGATGCGTGCTGGGCTGGCACCCCAAAAAAAGAATAATTCCGATCAAGGATAATTACAAAAAAACTTGGATCATAATCGTATCCAGAAAATTGCCAATATCCGTTACGATACCCCTAGAAAATACACACGCGCCAATTTAATTCCACTAAATTATGCAAATTACTCATAGACCGATAAGCATGACCTGTCAAATGTATTTACATCAACTGATATTTTAATCAATGAATAGGCTAAAACTCCCATTTCACTTAAATGTTAAATGGAGGTGAATGCAAGTAAATGTTAAATGGGAGGTGAATGCAAGTATATGAGGACATTAGGCCTATATAGTAAAACCTGCAAATGTATTATCAGGGGGAAAAAACACACTACCCTCCCCTGTGCCCAATAAAAAAACACACTACCCTCCCCAAAGCAAAAAAAAGTTACACAACCCTCCCCTATTTGGGACCAGACCCCCTACCCCAGTAAATTTCAAACTGTCCCTTAGACAAAATAAATGAAACAAGGTTGGGCAAATAAATTAAAACATGCAATCCATAAGCCTACTAATATATGAATGAATAAATTAAAAACGTGCACATATAAATAAATGTTATTTCAACCTCATAATTAGTTTTCTTTCAATTTTCTGTATAGAATCTAATTATCAATATAATAAAACTAGGCCTATGATATTTCCTTAAATAGGCCTAGCCTACTCAAACATCATAATTGGTTTAGCGAGGGCTGTGCTGATTCATTCATTCAAGGAGATGTATGGGATTCATTTTCAGCACATTATGATTTTTTTGTTTTTAGAATAGACTAATTAATAGAGATTCGGCACCACTGTTTGTTGGCAGCACAAAAAATATTTCCATCGATTGGAGGATTATTAGGCTATAGTGATTGGCACCAATAGCCTATGTAAAGTTTGTCTCAATAAGCTACCAGTTGAATTTTTTCCGATATGAAAAGGAGGGAAATATGACTGAGATGCACTGCACATAGGAAAGTGTCCAGACGACTGTGAGCTGATTGACCAGTAGGCTAGGTGTGAATGTTCTGAAAGCTTAATCATCTGAATACGAAACCCAACAACCCCTTATGGGCCATCAATGGGAAGTGCCTTCACAACTTGACGTATTCCACATCTTATTTACATACAGTACCAGTCAAAAGTTTGGACACACCTACTCATTCAAGGGTTTTTCTTTATTTTTTACATTGTAGAATAATAGTGAAGACATCAAAACTATGAAATAACACATATGGAATCATCTAGTAACCAAAAAAGTGTTAAACAAATCAAAATATATTTTATATTTGAGATTCTTCACATAGCCACCCTTTGCCTTGATGACAGCTTTGCACACTCTTGGCATTCTCTCAACCAGCTTCACCTGGAATGCTTTTCCAACAGTCTTGAAGGAGTTCCCAAATATGCTGAGCACTTGTTGGCTGATTTTCCTTCACTCTGCGGTCCAACTCATCCCAAACCATCTCAATTGGGTTGAGGTCAGGTGATTGTGGAGGCCAGGTCATCTGATGCAGCACTCCATCACTTAGCTTCTTGGTTTAACACTTTTTTGGTTACTACATGATTCCATATGTGTTATTTCATAGTTTTGATGTCTTCACTATTATTCTACAATGTAAAAAATAGTAAAAGTAAAGAAAAACCCTTGAATGAGTAGGTGTGTCTAAACTATTGACTGGTACTGTAAGTATTCACACCCCTGAGTCCATACATGTTTGAATCACCTTTGGCAGCGATTACAGCTGTGAGTCTTTCTGAGTAAGTCTCTAAGAGCTTTGCACACCTGGATTGTACAATATTTGCTTTAATTAATTCTTCAAGCTCTGTCAAGTTGGTTGTTAGTCATTGCTAGACAGCCATTTTCAAGTCTTGCCATAGCTTTTCAAGCTGATTTAAGTGAAAACTGTAACTATGCTACTAAGGACATTTAATGTCGTCTTCGTAAGCAACTCCAGTGTGTATTTGACCTTGTGTTTTAGGTTATTGTTCTGCTGAAAGGTGAATTTGTCTCCCAGTGTCTGTTGGAAAGCAGACTGAACACCGGGTTCTCCTCTAGGATTTTGCCTGTGCTTAGCTCTCTATTCTGTTTCTTTTTAAAGAAAAAAACTAGTCCTTGCCGATGTCAAGCATACCCATAACATGATGCAGCCACAACCATGCTTGAAAATCTATAGAGTGGTACTCAGCGATGTGTTGTGTTTGCTCCAAAAATAATGCTTTGTATTCAGGACATTCAGTTCTTTGCCACGTTTAAAAAAAATTTTTTTTAGTGCCTTATTGCAAACAGGATGCATGTTTTGGAATATTTGTATTCTGTGCAGGCTTCCATCTTTTCACTCTTTCATTTAGGTTAGTATTCTGGAGTAACTACAATGTTGTTGATCCATCCTCAGCTTTCTCCTGTCACAGCTATTAAACTCTGTTTTAATGTCACCATTGACCTCATGGTTAACTCACTGAGCGGTTTCCTTCTTCTCCAGCAACAGTTAGGAAGGACGCCTGTGTCTTTGTAGTGACCGGGTGTATTGATACACCATCTAAAGTGTAATTAATAACTTCACCATGCTCAATGGGATATTCAATGTCTGCTTTTTTTTTTTTTTTACCCATCTAGGCATCTACCAATAGGTGCCCTTCTTAGGAGAAGCATTGGAAAACCTCCCTGGTCTTTGTGGTTGCATCTGTGTTTGAAATTCACTGCTCGACTGAGGGACCTTACAGATAATTCTATGTGTGGGGTACAAAAATCATGTTAAACACTATTATTGCAGATTATTGAGTCCATGCAATTTATTAAGCACATTTTTACTTCCTGGATTTATTTAGGTTTGCCATAACAAAGGGGTTGATTACTTATTGGCTCAAGACATTTCAGCTTTCCATTTTTTTAGTAATTTGTAAACATTTCTAAAAACATATTTCCACTTTGACATTATGTGTATTGTGTGTAAACCAGTGACACAACATCTACATTTTATCCATTTTAATTCAAGCTGTAACACAACAAAATGTGGAAAAAGTCACGGGGTGTGAATACTTTCTGAAGGCACTGTATGCGATGGTTTGTTATTAATGGCAGCACCGCTTTATCAAATGTTCATATTGATATTTTAGGCTACGCTGTGAAAACAGATTTCATGGGACAGAAATCCCAAATGATGTATGCAATTACAAAATTGATATATCACACCCTGCAAAAACAGCTAGTGCGGAGAAAACGGTGTTCGGAATAATGTCCAGAATATTTTGATGTCTCATTCGTTGCACCAGTGAAGACAGTTGTGATCCACATTGGATCCAATCCGATACCCCTACATTTATGTTGATTATCTGCCATTGTCTGCTTGATTTACAGCAGGATCTAGAAGATTTAACAGAGAAAGCATCAAGGTAATCAGTTAATGTTTTCATATGTTTCTGTGCGTCGGATTGGAAACTGAGTCTAGGCTACTGTGTGCAATTGTGTAGGATAGCCTAGGCTATTGTGCCAACAACCAAAGTATTTTCCGTTCTATTATTCAGGACATTTAATGACAACAAATGAGTAGACTAGTGGGCTTATAAACAAAATGTACGCAGCGTAGTACCTTCCACAAAACGTTTTGCTCGACAAAAAGGCACGTAAGCGATGATCAGGGCTTTATTTAGGAACGTTTCTTGGGCAACTTTGATGTGTAAAGTGGACGAGATGCGCAGTCTGTGTTCGACTTTGTTGAATCGGAGATGTCGGAGTTTAACTTCATGGAGAAACTTGTTGCTCAAACGTATGATGGCACTGCTATAATGGAATGTATCTGCTATTTGTATTTACAGTTAAGTACCCTCCTGTTCCCTGATTAAGAGGTGATGACCACTCCACTCCACTACCAGTGTCAACTCTCCTGTCATGAACTGAAGCCATGTCTCATGTGCCCTAATCCACTGGCACATTGAATGTTTCCTCTCCAAGCACTGTGACTAGCCCTGTCAATTTTCTCTCATTACTGTATGTAGAGTCAATCACATACACAAAAACACACTTTTTTTGAAATGTTGGTAAGATTTTTTAATTTCAATTTTAAACAATACAAAACATACACATACAAACAACAACATCACACAAACATCAACTACATCACACCTGCCCAGACCTACATGCTCACACCCCCATCTCCAGTGCTCGCATCACTCTCCGCCACATGGCCTCAAACTGCACCGTATAGTTTCTCTCCGTCGCCCACGCACTTTCAACATTTAAATAATAAAGCATTTTATCATTCCGTTGTGTTAACAACAGAGGATTGGTTGATTTCCAGTTTAAGTATATGTTTTTTCAAGATGATTGACGAGAAAAGTATCATCGAACTCATTGGGTATCTCACTGCACCCTCATATGCCATGTCTCGAAATATGCAGACAGACAGATTCAACATTTCCTTCTGATAGCCAACTTTCTAATTCCGCCCATAACTTTTGGACTTTATAACATTCCCAGAAGGCACAGATTATTGAGTCATTGTTAGTTTTACACTTAAGACATGACTCTGCTGTTGTGCTGTAGAATTTGTGAAATTTGTCTCTTGTATAATACATTCTATACATTAGTTTACTGGATTATGCGTACATGTACATTTAGTTAACTGTAATTTTGTTAGTTACGTTCCAATATTTCCTCCATCTTGTGCCAATATCAGTTATTTTTGTGCCAATTGTTTATATTTTTTTTCTAAGAGATTGTCAGTTGGATAGGCTCTCTGCAATGTTTTTTATAGCTAACCTGTCATGTGAAGATCCTTTTCTGACTCAAATAGAATTCCCTCAAGATTGCTCTGATGTCCAAAAGATTTACAATCTAAAATTAGTGATATAAAACTGAAAACCTCAACCCCTGTCCTGCAATGAAGTCAAGCCTCTGATCACCTCAAGTCATGCCTCATACCCTAATTCAATCACTGCTGTGATCCCTTCCCAACACTGAGTAAGTAGCCCTCTCATTCCCATTCCCCATAATATGTTACTGTCTTTATTAAATGTTTTAGGTTAAAATAATTTGTCTTTGACGATTTTTTAAAACGCTTTGTCGTCTTCATGTGGTTCACGCCTACACCGTTGGTCTCCCATCAACCAAAACAAAAAATGTCAAGTCAACAGCCTCCACTGGTGTAGATATAGGAGAGGAGACAAAGCAAGAATGTCACTTTAGACTATTGAGATGTCCCCATGTGGAGACCCCATGTCTCCTCTAGCTCCCTCGGAAAACCTTAATATAGACATGGAAAGCACATCTCCCTCTAAGACTCCAATGATCACTGGGACAGAAGAGATGTTTGTTTAAATCAGCGGTGCCAAACTCATTTTGCCCCAGGGCCTCATTCAGTCTTCAATGAGGTCTGGAGGGCCACATAGAACATTTGTTGCATTTCCTCGCCGTCAAAATGTACAAACAATTTCATTTCAGTGATTATTAGCGAGCTGGACACAGTCAAGAAACCATATGAATGTAGGTCATGTATCATTTCTACACAGTTTAGATTTGACTTGAGTCATTTTAAAGTATATTGAGTTTGTCCCCCTCCCCCCAAATAACTTTTATTTAAAAAAAGGCCTATATCAGTGGTCACCAACCGTTAGATCGCGATCGATCTCCAAATTATCCCTTGTCGATTGCCAAACATTTCTGTAAAAAAAACAATGATAAAGCCTTGCGTTCCTTTTTTCTTTTTCTTTATGAATACAGCAAAGAGCGGCTGTTTTTATGAGTGAGTTCATGTTTAAGTTCTTACTCAGCACTGTCAACACTTTGTATTCAACACTTTTAGAAGCCATAAAATGTGTGTTTTTTGCACTGCAACTGTAATGAATGAGTAGGAAAGTGTATCGATTGGCTTGCGTAGTTATTATTAGCGGCTTGGGTCCTTTTTAAAATTGGGTAATCTTTCACTTTTCACAGGAGTAACATGAATTTGTACAGAGGCAGAAATAATGCGGTGCGACTCGAGTTTTCACCATCAGCTGGAAGACGGTGTCACTTTTTGGTCAGTGTCAGTGGAGGAAAGGGAGAGCGGAGGGACGTTGAGAGGCGGACCCTCAGTCTGCTGCTCTCTCCCTCCGCTGAGACTGACCATCAGATGCAGGCACCATCAGCCCAGTAAAATAAAAAATAAAAAGTAAATTATTGAAATGTATGCTCAGTCAGCTGTGCCTCACAAGTAATACAACAACTGATCTATTACCAGTGTGATCCAATTGCCTACCTCCAATTATTATATATATATATATATATATATATTTTTTTTAATGGTCCGAACAACAATGCATTGGCAGGGCAATTCAAGCGAAGTCAATATGCGGTGATAACGTATTGGGCCTATAGCATTCTGCACAAACCTCATTGCTACAGTACTGTCTTTAATATTTTTATGTTGCATAGGCTTACGCTTATGTAATGTTCAAAACAAATCTGAGCGGTAGATCTCTGCTTGCATTTTGACTCAGAAAGTGATCTTGACTAAGAAAAGGTTGGTGACCACTGGCCTATATGAAGTTGGTAGAATCTAGCATGTCTAGCCTTTGTCCAGTTGGGGTAGCAGGAGTAAACCAAATGCTACTGTCAACTTGTAATAAAAGAGTGGACAGACAGAGGACACGTGAGTATTTATACACTCATGGGAGAAACTATGGATGCATTTCATTCCAGTAAGTCCCTGCCACCCATCTGCCCTTCTTCTCTCCCTGTCACAGATCTGACAGGACTGGAAATGTGAATGAAGGCAATCCTAGGTGGAGCTATTGGTTGCCTTGCTTACACCTACCCAGTATGTTGTCTCAGATCCTTGAAGCAGAGTGAACAAGGGCACAGGGAATGGAACATCTTCCCAGAATGAAACCCAACCAAGATCAACCCACAGAGGTAATGAGATAACCAGACACTACTACTTTTAGTGGTACTGATTGAATAATCTCTGGTTGGTAAACCTTTGAAGCTGGTCTAAGTGTCAATTACAGTAACACTACTGAAAGGGTAAGTGGTCAAATACAGCTAGGCAATCATTCTAAGGTCGAAGGTTTCATTCCAGGAAGATGCCCTCATTCAGTCCCCTTCATTAATCTGATAGGTGGCGCCTACGGAGATTGGCGCCTCTTCCCCCTCAGGAGGCTGAAAAGATTTGGCAATGGCCCTCGCATCCTCAAAAAGTTACAGCTGCACCATCGAGAGCATTTGACTGGCTGCATCACAGCTTGGTATTGGAAATGCACTGCCCTTGACCGCAAAGTGCTACAGAGGGTGGTGCGGACAGCCCAGGGCCAAGATCCCTGCCATCCAGGACCACTATATCAGGCAGTGTCAGAGGAAGGACTGAAAAATTGCCAAAGACTCCAGCCACCAAAGCCATAGACTGTTCACTCTGCTACCGTCCGGCAAACGGTATGGGAGCATCGGCTCTCGGAACAACAGGCTCAGAGACTGCTTCTATCCCCAAGCCATAAAACTGCTAAATAGGCAGACTGCTAAATAGTCAATTAATGGTACCAAACAATCTGCACTGACCCTATGCACACTCACTAGACTAGTATGAAAATGTATGCACTCACTAACAGTAAGTCGCTCTGGATAAGAGCGTCTGCTAAAATGACTAAAATGTAACTATATATGCAACCATACATACACTTAATCACACACACACTACAGTGGCTTGCAAACGTATTCACCCCCCTTGGCATTTTTCCTATTTTGTTGCCTTACAACCTGGAATTAAAATGGATTATTTGGGGGTTTGTATCATTTGATTTACACAACATGCCTACCACTTTGAAGATGCAAAATATTGTTTGGGGTGAAACAAACAAGAAATAAGACCAAAAAAAAAAGAAAACTTGAGTGTGCATAACTTATAACTATTTTCTGACTTTGAGACATACTCAGTTCGCACTGAAATCTCTCAATGATTATTTTCTGAGGGACCCCTTTGCCGGTGCACTCATTTATGCACATGGCATTTGTCACAATAGTGCCCTTTGAGGTATACAGACACACACTGGCCTCAGCACATACGTTTGTGTTGACCAATTGTGTGTGTTTAAGGTATGTGTGTGTCTCAGACCTGTGTTCAAATACTATTTAGGGTATTTAAATTACTTAAGACATTTCAAAGTAACTATTTGGCTAGTTTGTCTTTGAAAATACAAGTAGTAGAATATTGGAATGTATTTGGAAATACACTTAAAGTATTGGCATGTATTTGAATGTATTTTCAAAAACAAATATTTACTCAATGCATTGAACTCAGGTCTGTTTGTTCCTAGGGGTATTTGAAACAATACATTTGGAAATAAGTATTTTTGAAAATAAGTTTCAAATACTTAAAATAGAAGTAGCTGATTTGGCCAAATACTGAAATACACAGAAAATAATAATTTAAATAATAAATACTTGTATTGTGTTCTGTGTGCATGTGTGTTTGTGTATGTGTTTGTCAGTAATAAGCATGAGAGAAAATAAGCTACAATAGCAGCCAATTTACCCACCCAAGGCAGGCCTAGGGCCAGAGTCAATCCAATTGCGTTTTGTCTGCTATGCACGTTTTAAAGGCAATGTTCCCGCATTCGCGGAGACCACATTCACGGTAAAGGCTGCCAGAGTGGAAGAGGGCTGACTCCACCCCCAAATCTTGTCCCCGCGAAAAAAAAGCGATTAAGGAGGTTTGTTGTATGGATTCTTTGTATGGCGGTCAACATAGAATTCAATGGCTAATTTGCTACGTAAAGCCTATTTGAGCGAATAGAAGTTTCGTAATGCTTAGGTTGTTGCGCATGTACTGATATTAAGTGGACGCACTTTGAGAAAAATTATTTTATATCGGAGAAGTGCCTGTTGTTAACATGCATATCTGCAATCTCACTGGAATGTTCCCGCCTGCTCCAGGCTCCTCCCGCCTGCCTTCCGCCTTTGCTGACATTTCTTTCAGAGGTGTTGGTTTAAAGCAGAAGTCAAATTTTGACGAATAATCTTAATTTATTCCCATTGTTAGAACGGAGAGTCCCGTATCTTGTCAGTATATAGACAATCTTTGACGCTGCATATGTCGGCTCAATCGGAAATTACCTTTACATTTCAATCGCACTATAACGTGGATCTTCCGTGATCTGGATTGAGTTTGTACTCCTGAGTGGCGCAGTGGTCTAAGGCACTGCATCGCAGTGCTAACTGTGCCACTAGAGATCCTGGTTCGAATCCAGGCTCTGTCGTAGCCGGCCGCGACCGGGAGACTCATGGGCGGCGCACAATTGGCCCAGCGTCGTCCAGGGTAGGGGAGGGAATGGCCGGCAGGGATGTAGCTCAGTTGAGAGGAATGAGAGAGAGCAAGACAGCCAAGACCTGTCCATTAAAGGGATACTTTGGGATTTTGGCAATGATCCCAAAATAACTAGCGTTAGCGCAATGACTGGAAGTCTATGGGTATCTGCTAGCATTGGCTCGTAAAACTACCTCTAACTTCCTTCATGGATATCTACTAGCATGCTAGCAGATACCCATAGACTTCCAGTCACTGCGCTAACGCTAGTTATTTTGGGATCATTGCCAAAATCCCAAAGTATCCCTTTAAATGGACAGGTCTTGGCTGTCTTGCTCTCTCTCATTCATCTCAGTCTGCAGAACTCTCTGGTTTATGTCCCTGTGGATTAGGGCCTAGACTCAATCCAGACTAACCCTAACCCTAACCCTAGCAAAACTACCTGTAACTTCCTTAATACTGGACACAGATACATACAAGTGGTATCCACGAGTTTATCTGACTCTGGGGAAGTAGATAAAAGGCTGCATTGACAAAATCCCAAAGTATCCCTTTAACTCGAGTCCAATCCTTTTATCTCTTCAATAACAATCCCCCTCTCTCCCCATCAGTGGTGTAAAGTACTTAAGTAAAAATACTTTAAAAGTAGTTCTTTGTGGTATCTGTACTGTACTTTACTATTTATATTTTTGACTACTTTTACTTTTACTCCACTACATTCCTAAAGAAAATAATGTACTTTTTACTCCATACATTTTCCCTGACACCCAAAAGTACTCGTTACATTTCGAATGCTTAGCAGGACAGGAAAATGGTCGAATTCACACACTTATCAAGAGAACATCCCTGGTCCTCCCTACTGCCTCTTATCTGGCAGGCTCACTAAACACAAATGCTTCATTTGTAAATGATGTCTGAGTTGTTGGAGTGGGCACTTGGCTATCCACAAATTTTAAAAAAACTAGAAAATCGTGCCGTTTGGTTTGCTTAATATAATGAATGTGAAATGATTTATACTTTTACTTTTAATACTTAAGTATATTTTAGCAATTACATTTACTTTTGATACTTAATTATATTTTAAAACAAATACTTTTAGACTTTTACTCAAGTAGTATTTTACTGGGTGATTTTCACTTTTACTATTAAGGTATCTTTACTTTTACTCAAGTATGACAATTGGGTACTTTTTCCACCACTGCTCCCAATCTCAGCTCTTCCTTCCACCAGGGAAGAGGATGTGAAGATGATGACAGACGTTTATTTTACGAACACCAGGGTTATTCTTATTGGTCCGGCTAGTCCCTCCCTGTTTGAGTCCGTTTTCTCCGGTTTGGTGCCAAATTAACACGACCCTGATCTGCAACATGACATCCCTCCCTGTTTGTCTGCTTAGAATGACAGCTCAGGCATTACTATTTGCCCTACATGGGTCTTATTTCTTTAGATTCTGATGAAAACTTAAAGTTCTGTGTCAATGTTTTTACCAGGACGGACACATTCACTAGACACATGTTGTAACAGAGTGTCTGCATCATTGGCCTTTTGCTCTGGTTGAGCCTTTAACTCGATCACTGCCAGCCTCAGCTGTGATGTGTGTGTGTGTGTGTGTGTGTGTGTGTGTGTGTTGGTGTCATTGCACAATCAACTGTTGAGCTATTTTAAGACTGATTAATGAGCATTGACTATTAAGATCTTCAGGAACAAAGTTGCAAAGCCTTGTCCACGGTTCTTCCACATCCATTTGTCATGTTCAATTAAAATCAAATAGTATTTGTCACATGCTTCGTAAACAACGGGTGTAGACTAACAGTGAAATGCTTACTTACGAGTCCTTTTCCAATAATGTAAATAAATACACAGTGAATAACAATAATTAGTGAAAAATAACATTCCACTGGGAACACACTGGTGGAATCAACTTTGTAGCTCAGTTGGTAGAGCATGGCGCTAGCAACGCCAGGGTTGTGGGTTCGATTCCCTCGGGGGGCCAGTATGAAAGATGTATGCACTCTAACTGTAAGTCGCTCTGGATAAGAGCGTCTGCTAAATGACTAAAATGTAAAATGTTGACTGTGCCTTTAAACAGCTTGGAAAATTCCAGAAAATGATGTCATGGCTTTAGAAGCTTCTGATAGGCTAATTGACATCATTTGAGTCAATTGGAGGTGTACCTGTGGATGTATTTCAAGGCCTACCTTCAAACTCAGTGCCTCTTTGCTTGACATCATGGGAAAATCAAAAGAAATCAGCCAAGACCTCAGAAAAAAAATTGTTCATCCTTGGGAGCAATTTCCAAATGCCTGAAGGTACCATATTCATCTGTACAAACAATAGTACGCAAGTATAAACACCATGGGACCACGCAGCCGTCATACATTTACATTTACGTCGTTTAGCAGACGCTCTTATCCAGAGCGACTTACAAATTGGTGCATTCACCTTATAGCCAGTGGGATAACCACTTTACAATATGTTTTTTTTTCTTTCTTTGGGGGGGTAGAAGGATTACGTTATCCTATCCCAGGTATTCCTTAAAGAGGTGGGGTTTCAAGTGTCTCCGGAAGGTGGTGAGTGACTCCGCTGTCCTGGCGTCGTGAGGGACCTTGTTCCACCATTTGGGTGCCAGAGCAGCGAAGGAGACGCGTTCTGTCTGAATGAACGTACTTTGGTGTGGAAAGTACAAATCAATCCCAGAACAACAGCAAAGGAACTTGTGAAGATGCTGGAGGAAACAGGTACAAAAGTATCTATATCCACAGTAAAACAAGTCCTATATCGACATAACCGGAAAGGCCACTCAGCAAGGAAGAAGCCACTGCTCCAAAACCGCCATAAAAAAGCCAGACTACGGTTTGCAACTGCACATGGGGACAAAGATCGTACTTTTTGGAGAAATGTCCTCTGGTCTGATGAAACAAAAATAGAACTGTTTGGCCATAATGACCATTGTTATGTTTGGAGGAAAAAGAGGGTTGCTTGCAAGCCGAAGAACACCATCCCAACCATGAAGCACAGGGGTGGCAGCATCATGCTGTGGGGGTGCTTTGCTGTAGGAGGGACTGGTGCACTTCACAAAATAGATGGCATCCTGAGGAAGGAAAATTATGTGGATATATTGAAGCAACATCTCAAGACATCAATCAGGAAGTTAAAGCTTGATCGCAAATGGGTCTTCCAAATGGACAATGACCCCAAGCATACTTCCAAAGTTGTGGCAAAATGGCTTAAGGACAACAAAGTCAAGGTATTGGAGTGGCCATCACAAAGCCCTGACCTCAATCCTATAGAAAATGTGTGGGCAGAACTGAAAAAGCGTGTGCGAGCAAGGAGGCCTACAAACCTTACTCAGTTACACCAGCTCTGTCTGGAGGAATGGGCCAAAATTCACCCAACTTATTGTGGGAAGCTTGTGGAAGGCTAACCAAAACGTTTGACCCAAGTTAAACCAGTTAAAGGCAATGCTACCAAATACTAATTGAGTGTATGTAAACTTCTGACCTAAGACAGGGAATATTTACTAGGATTAAATGTCAGGAATTGTGAAAAACTGAGTTTAAATGTATTTGGCTAAGGTGTATGTAAACTTCCGACTTCAACTGTATGTGTGTGTGGGGTTGTCAGTGTAAGTATGTGTGAGTGTGTGGGTAGAGTCCAGTGTGTGTGCATAAAGTCAGTGCAAGAGAGCAAAAAATGATAAATGCAGGCATTCCGGGTAGCCATTTGATTAGCTATATAGCAGTCTTGCTTAGCAGTCATATGGCTTCGGGGTAGAAGCTGTTCAGGGTCCTGTTGGTTCCAGACTTGGTGCACTGATACCGCTTGCTGTGTGGTAGCAGAGAGAACAGTCTACAGCTTGGGTGGCTGGAGTATTTGACAATTCTTTAGGCCTTCCTCTGACACCGCCTGGTATAGAGGTCCTGGATGGCAGGTGTTGACTGAAGCCTAGTGTCATTGCTCCTGTTCCTCAATGTCAGACACTTGGTAGAAGACCATGGGAGTTTCCTATCTCTACCTCCCCCACAGCATCAGTAAGCTTACCATTATGCCATGTTTGTAGCCAACTAGAGTATAAACCGTATTCAAGGGCATGTGTTGAGAAGGAATTAACTGAGCACAATTATGCCACAGTTAACTTGCACAATTACAATCACGTACAGATGCCCACCAACACATGCACACACACAGTCTTCAGCTTTAAAACCGAGCTATGGCAGGTCTGCATTTAAGGGCCCTACATTTCTCTCAAATCTAAAATGGATTTATGCTCCCTGCAACTCAAGACTGGCGGAGAGAGAAAAAACCCACATTATTTCTCATTGACAATAGGCTACAAGTTGTGTGCCTGCTGTGCAATCTGAGAGAGAACTGTTTTGACCTTGAGAGGGAGAGAGAGAGAGAGAGAGCTTGATAGTAACATCATGCAAAGACTGTTAGTACATGACAACATGACTGCAGAATTTGTGATGGGGCTAAGACTGTCAATCAATGAGCCTGTATTGCCATAACAGAACATGAACTGGTAGGCCTTGGCCTACACTATTCCCACAGACAGTAGCTTGGCAACTATGGTACGATTTCTAGGCCTATAGAACATTGGGTTCGATTATTATTAAATTTTTTCATGGATACTAAAATCAATACATTTTGTACCCTAGTATAAACCTATTGTATGCATTTATTGTAGGCCCTATGCAAATTTGACCAACCAACATCCCAATTCCGTTCTAAATCACTGGAATTTGAGGAGGATAGGACGTAGAACTCTATGAAAGATGAATTAAATGTTACATTTAAATGTAATGTCTTATAGAGTTACTGACTACACGCGAGTAGTGGCCAGGAAATAGTTTCGCGCTATCATTGTATTGCAAAAACAAAGTGTCACTAACTGTAACCTATCGACATTTTTGGCAACATAGTTTCAAATGAACCGCTTGCGTGCTTGCATGAATATGCTATTAATTATATAATTCAGTGCCTTCAGAAACTCAATGAGGCGTCCAGATTCCGAAGACCCACTAAATTTCACAGTTCTGTGTGTCACAATCCTTTCCAACAGTTTGTAGAATTAGGCCACACGAAATCTGCCTAGACATACTATGAATGAAATAAGAAGGGTGATATGACAGGAGGAAACACTGTATGCATGCAAGACTGCTTCTCAAGACGATACAACGTGCTTTATCGGTTATTCTAAGAACAGTTTCGTTACACTGATTAGGGAGACGAAATTGGGGAAGTGTTGGTAAAGCTACAGGCCGATTAATCCCAGTTTATGTTAATCCCATTGCGATTTATTCCAATACATATTAGCCTACTGACCTGGTTAAGGCAGACTAGATTCGGCCTGTTAGACTCAGTCATGATTTTCTTATGAAAAATGTAACCCCCCCCTACACTAGTGAACTAATAGCTAATAACTTGCAATCCCCTGGGCAAAAAAAAATAGCCTATTTCGAGCCATTTGTGGAAATATTGAGAGAGAAAAAATTATGAATGGATGTAGCCTAAAATGTTTATTCCAATATTTTAAGTGCGGGTACATAAGGAAACCATCTATTCTAGGCTATAGCCATTGCAGTTGATGAGTAAAATAAATTCAGTAGATCAGTGACGGTAAGGAATAGACTGTAGCAGAAGGGATATGAGGTTATAACGGGGAAGGCGCCTATAGAGGGTAAAAAACAATTCCGATACCGTTAGATCAGCTTTGATTGGCTGTTGCCATTATTGGGGCGAAAATCACGATGAACAAACATCTCCGTTATGTAGGCCTATTCTAAAAAAAACAGGCTATTTATTGAATTATCAAAATTAATATGCACATTTGTATCCTAGGCTGCATTCACATTGATCACCGATTAAAGCCGGTCATTGAGACTTTGTATGGCTATGAATTGTCACATCAATGGGAAATATCATTGTTTTAATATGCAAACCCGATCAGATCTCGCCCCAAACCGGTTTCTTACCCCAGCTTTTAGCGGTTCGGCCAATAAACTCTCCTGTTCGTGGGTTGTAGATAGAATCTTTCCAGGAGGACGTCTGCGGTTTATCTCCGTCGGCGGCGGGTGTCTCCTCCTTGGTCGACATGGTTGGCTTTGGGTTGTTCAAAATGATGACCGTAGATGGTTAGGAATGTTATAATGCCCAAACGGTCTATAAACGATGGATTGCCTCTGTTTTATATATATTTTTTAATCGAGTGTTATTTCCGACCCAATATAGCCTAGTCCCTTCCGGTTACCCTCACCACGCGACTACAGTACTGCAGCAACTGAGCTGGAGGAGAATTCGCGATTGAAGCATCTCAGCGCAAGCGCACTTTCAGCATTCAGGCTCCAGAAGCGGCATTCAAAACTCAGAGGACTGGTTAATTTGATTTGTGATTCATCATCTTAAACTTTTAAGGATCGGACCCTTTTCTTCAATTTTCGCCTAAAATGACATACCCAAATCTAACTGCCTGTAGCTCAGGACCTGAAGCAAGGATATGCATATTCTGGATACCATTTGAAAGGAAACACTTTGAAGCTTGTGAAAATGTGAAATTAATGTAGGAGAATATAACACATTAGATCTGGTAAAAGATAATACAAACAACAAAAAACATGAGGTAAAAAAAAAAACAATTTTTTTTGAAATGCAAGAGAAAGCCCACAATATAATATTGCAGTTTAGGCGCAATTTAGATTTTGGCCACTAGATGGCAGCATGCAAAGTTTCAGATTGATCCAGTGAAGCATTGCAATACTGCACTATTTTGTATCAAGTCTGCCCAAATGTGCCGAATTGGTCAGTTGATACATTTTCAAGTACATAACTATAGAGAACATACAAAAATGATATGGTAATACAAAATGTAATTTTACACACTCCCAGGAATGTCATACATGATGGATCATTAGCTTATACACTAACTTTCACACATCTAGATGGCCAGGCGTGGTGGGTGTGGAGCCAGAGACAGCAGGGGTTCAAACTGTTGTTGTGCACTCTCCTCAAACAATAGCATGGTATTTTTTCACTGTAATAGCTACTGTAAATTGGACAGTGCAGTTAGATTAACAAGAATTTAAGCTTTCTGCCTATATAAGACATGTCTATGTCCTGGAATATTTGCTGTTACTTACAACAGTCATGCTAATTACATTAGCGCATGTTAGCTCAACCGTCCCGTCTATGGGACACCGATCCCGTAGAGGTTTTTCGCAGCTGCAGGAAATACAGGGGCAGCAGCCATGAAGACATTTATAAAAAATAACTACAAGAAAGAAATTAAGAGAGAAACAGAGATATAAATGCTTCTAAAACATCATATCATAGACCTGAATGCCTATTTCCTGTATAACTGGCCATATCCCCAGAGAACGTCCATTCCCCCTGTGAACAGTGTAGGAGACGAGAGTCCTGTCCCAGAGAGAGAGAGAGGTACGGTGCATCACTGATGCCTGGCTGGCTGTCTGTCCGTCAGTCACTCTGGGGAAGAGGGTTCGTTGTCATCATCGTCATTGTCCTCCTCTTCCTCGTCGAAGGAGCTGGGCATCTGGCCTTGAGACTCGGAGTGGGCGGTGCTACTGTGGCTGTAGCTACGCCTTCCATTCAAAGAGGCAAAGTCCAGGTCACCTGGGAAAGAGCTGAACTACGACAACCCACACCACCGGGGTCAGTTACTTCAGTTCTCAAATTAAAATCAATCATGCCACCTTAAGTCATTTATATTTCTATGATCCCTGTGTGGCTTGAGCTTTTCTGTTATCAGTAAGGTGTGTAACCTTACATCCCAAATGGCACCCTATTCCCTATATAGTGCACTACTTTTGAACAGAGCCACACAGGGATCATAGAAATATCACTCTTCATGTGTAGTGTGGTCCCGTGTAGCTCAGTTGGTAGAGCATGGCGCTTGCAACGCCAGGGTTGTGGGTTCGATTTCCACGGGGGGGCAGTATGAAAAATGTATGCACTCACTAACTGTAAGTCGCTCTGGATAAGAATGTCTGCTAAATGAGTAAAATGTAAAAATGTAAAATGTAGTGTTCCTGTTTGGTAGTGGATTGTGTTCAAATCACAGTTTTGATTGAAAAGTTATGAGAGGTAATCTATCTTGTTTGACTAGTGCCTCTGGCCATGCCTGTGGGAGGGGAGATGAGGACAGATTGAAATGACAGAAATGGCCTGTTTCCACACGCACACACATGGCAAAAATGCTTGTCAATGAATGCCATTTTCCCACTCTCACCTATGACATAGGTCTCCAGGGACCTGGGGATGAGGGACTTGGCCAGGATGAGATTGTCTGCGCTGCACTTCCCACTCTCCAGGCCCAGGGACATCCCCATGTGCTTCAGAATCTCTATGTCGTCATGGATCTCAAAGGTGTTGTCGAAGTTGAAAAGGTATTCGCATCTACAGTAGGGACGTCAAACGTTCAGCCTGCTGTACAGACCCTATGGACGCTCTAGTTTAGAGCGACTGGTTAAATTGTGCTTAGGAGTATTTTTAAACTCTCTCCATGGATAAAGTAGGACGAAATATAAATAGTGTGCTACATTTACTATCATCATATACAGTGGGGAAAAAAAGTATTTAGTCAGCCACCAATTGTGCAAGTTCTCCCACTTAAAAAAATGAGAGAGGCCTGTAATTTTCATCATAGGTACATGTCAACTATGACAGACAAATTGAGGAAAAAAAATCCAGAAAATCACATTGTAGGATTTTTTATGAATTTATTTGCAAATTATGGTGGAAAATAAGTATTTGGTCACCGACAAACAAGCAAGATTTCTGGCTCTCACAGACCTGTAACTTCTTCTTTAAGAGGCTCCTCTGTCCTCCACTCGTTACCTGTATTAATGGCACCTGTTTGAACTTGTTATCAGTATAAAAGACACCTGTCCACAACCTCAAACAGTCACACTCCAAACTCCACTATGGCCAAGACCAAAGAGCTGTCAAAGGACACCAGAAACAAAATTGTAGACCTGCACCAGGCTGGGAAGACTGAATCTGCAATAGGTAAGCAGCTTGGTTTGAAGAAATCAACTGTGGGAGCAATTATTAGGAAATGGAAGACATACAAGACCACTGATAATCTCCCACGATCTGGGGCTCCACGCAAGATCTCACCCTGTGGGGTCAAAATGATCACAAGAACGGTGAGCAAAAATCCCGAACCACACAGGGGGACCTAGTGAATGACCTGTAGAGAGCTGGGACCAAAGTAACAAAGCTTACCATCAGTAACACACTACGGCGCCAGGGACTAAAATCCTGCAGTGCAAGACATGTCCCCCTGCTTAAGCCAGTACATGTCCAGGCCCGTCTGAAGTTTGCTCGAGTGCATTTGGATGATCCAGAAGAGGATTGGGAGAATGTCATATGAAACCAAAATAGAACTTTTTGGTAAAAACTCAACTCGTCGTGTTTGGAGGACAAAGAATGCTGAGTTGCATCCAAAGAACACCATACCTACTGTGAATTATTGGGGTGGAAACATCATGCTTTGGGGCTGTTTTTCTGCAAATGGACCAGGACGACTGATCCGTGTAAAGGAAAGAATGAATGGGACCATGTATCGTGAGATTTTGAGTGAAAACCTCCTTCCATCAGCAAGGGCATTGAAGATGAAACGTGGCTGGGTCTTTCAGCATGACAATGATCCCAAACACACCGTCCGGGCAACGAAGGAGTGGCTTCGTAAGAAGCATTTCAAGGTCCTGGAGTGGCCTAGCCAGTCTCCAGATCTCAACCCCATAGAAAATCTTTGGAGGGAGTTGAAAGTCCGTGTTGCCCAGCGACAGCCCCAAAACATCACTGCTCTAGAGGAGATCTGCATGGAGGAATGGGCCAAAATACCAGCAACAGTGTGTGAAAACCTTGTGAAGACTTACAGAAAACATTTGACCTGTCATTGCCAACAAAGGGTATATAACAAAGTATTGAGAAACTTTTGTTATTGACCAAATACTTATTTTCCACCATAATTTGCAAATAAATTCATAAAAAATCCTACAATGTGATTTTCTGGATTTTTTTTTCTCATTTTGTCTGTCATAGTTGACGTGTACCTATGATGAAAATTACAGGCCTCTCTCATCTTTTTAAGTGGGAGAACTTGCACAATTGGTGGCTGACTAAATACTTATTTTCCCCACTGTATACAAATATTGAATTACTTTGGCATATTGAATTATGTTATATTACGCTAATTTCTCTATGATGGACAGAACGTGTTACTACATTACACAGACTAAAGTTTTCACCACACAATATTACAGGAAATACACATCCTTTTTACCTCAGAATGCTGATGTTAGTATTAAAGTTTATAGTCATCACGATCTCAGAAAATCGATTGCTTAAAACAGATTGATATCTTTGGTTTAGTACCAGTATTTTTTGTCATACGCGCCAGTCCGTAGTGGGACTTAGAATGCAACTGTCATTTTGAGACCACGGTGGCTAAGAAAATAATTGGGCGCTCCTCCCATGAATATGTCTGGCCTGACATGAATTCATGGATTTGAGGGTTACGCTATCATTCAAACGAAAGCCAACCCCTGTCGCTATTTAGAAACCGATGTGAGGTGGTGATTTCTTGAAATTATCCCGTAAAAAAAGTGTTTCCTTTTCCATATTGGCCATCTACGAAAATAATTTTCTCAGAGATACAGTGCATTCGGAAAGTATTCAGACCCCTTGACTTTTTCCACATTTGTTACGTTACAGCCTTATTCTAAAAATGGATTAAATTAATGTTTTTCCTCAAATCTACACACAATACCTGTCACGCCCTGGCTCTGGGGACTCTGAAATGTTGAGCCAGGGTGTGTAGTTTCTGTGTTATATTTTCTATGTTGATGTGCTAGATCGTTTAGATCTATGTTGGCCAGGGTGGTTCCCAATCAGAGGCAGCTGTATCTCGTTTTCTCTGATTGGGGACCATACTTAGGCAGCCTGTTTGGCACTAGTCGGTGTGGGATCTTGTTCCGTAAAGGTTTGTTTTGTGTAACCTAGGACTTCACGTATCGTTTGTTTGTTGTTTTGTGTCGTGTTAAGTACTTAATAAAATGTACGCTTATCACGCTGCGCCTTGGTCCGTATCTTCCGTTAACGATCGTGACAATACCCCATAATGACAAAGCAAAAACTGGTTTTTAGAAAATTTTGCAAAAAAATTAAAATAGAAAACAGAAATAACTTTTACATAAGTATTCAGACCCTTTGCTATGCAACTCGAAATTTAGCTCAGGTGCATCCTGTTTCCACTGATCATCCTTGAGATGTTTCTACAACTTGATTGGAGTCCACCTGTGGTAAAGTCAATTGATTGGACATGATTTGAAAAGGCACACACCTGTCTATATAAGGTCCCACAGTTGACAGTGCATGTCAGAGCAAAAACCAAGCCCTGAGGTCGAAGGAATTATCCGTAGATCTGAGACAGGATTGTGTCGAGGCACAGATCTGGGGAAGGGTACCAAAAAATTGTAGGCAGCATTGAAGGTCCCGAAGAACACAGTGGCCTTCATCATTCTTAAATGGAAGAAGTTTGGAACCAACAAGACTCTTCCTAGAGCTGGCCGCCCGGCCAAACTGAGCAATCGGGGGAGAAGGGCCTTGGTCAGGGAGGTGACCAAGAACCCAATGGTCACTCTGACAGAGCTCCAGAGTTCCTCTGTGGAGATGGGAGAAACTTCCAGAAGGACCACCATCTCTTCGGCACTCTCTACGGCACATCTCTTCGGCACTTTATGGTAGAGTGGCCAGACGGAAGCCACTCCTTAGTAAAAGGCACATGACAGCCCTCTTGGAGTTTGCCAAAAGGCACCTAAAGGACTTTCAGACCATGAGAAACAAGATTCTCTGGTCTGATGAAACCAAGACTGAACTCTTTGGCCTGAATGCCAAGCCTCATGTCTGGAGGAAACCTGGCACCATCCCTACGGTGAAGCATGGTGGTGGCAGCATCATGCTGTGGGGATGTTTTTCAGCGGCAGGGACTGGGAGACTAGTCAGGATGGAGGGAAAGATGAACGGAGCAAAGTACAGAGAGATCCTTGATGAAAACCTGCTCCAGAGCGCTCAGGACCTCAGACTGGGGCGAAGGGTCACCTTCCAACAGAACAAAGACCCTAAGCACACAGCCAAGACAACGCAGGAGTGTCTTTGGGACTCTGAATGTCCTTGAGTGGCCCAGCCAGAGCCCGGACTTGAACCCGATCGAACATCTCTGGAGAGACCTGAAAATAGCTGTGCAGCGACGCTCCCCATCCAATCTGACAGAGCTTGAGAGGATCTGCAGAGAAGAATGGGAGAAACTCCCCAAATACAGGTGTGCCAAGCTTGTAGCGTCACACCCAAGAAGACTCAAGGCTGCCAAAGGTGCTTCAACAAAGTACTGAGTAAAGGGTCTGAATACTTATGTAAATGTGATATTTCAGTTATTTTTTTCTTCTAAAAACCTGTTTTTGCTTTGTCATTATGGGGTATTGTGTGTAGATTGATGAGGGGGGAAAACTATTTAATCAATTTCAGAACAAGGCTGTAACGTAACAAAATGTGGAAAAGGTCAAGGGGTCTGAACACTTTGCGAATGCACTGTATAGACAAAACTTTATGAACATCTGCTCTTTCCATGACATAGACTGACTGACCAGGTGAAAGCTATGATCCCTTATTGATGTCACTTGTTAAATCCACTTCAATCAGTGTAGATGAAGGGGAGGAAATAATTGAGACATGGATTGTGTATGTGTGCCATTCAGAGCGTGAATGGGGTATGGTAGTAGGTTCCAGGCGCACCGGTTTGCGTGAAGAACTGCAACGCTGCTGGGTTTTTCATGATTAACAGTTTCCCGTGTTGAGTGTGAAGCGAATCAATTCCAGTCGAGTGACCGCTTGGTAAATATTAGTGCGTGTGCAGTTTATAAATCATTAATTTAGCAAAATACAAGTAATCTGTAAACAAGTTTCACACGTGTGTGTGTAGGAAGTAACCTTTATGTATTGCTCTTCAAAATATAACGACTTATTTCAGTATGTTAATTATGTATTTGGACATTAATCAAAAAGCCATGACAACAGGAAGCAGCAACATATGTATTTTTCAATCTATGTTTTATGAATATAAATGTTACTTTTAACATAATTTTTCCAACAGGATTCTACTTTATCAGGTAAAAACCACTGAATGAGCCCAAAAACTTGCTATGACTTATAAATATGTTTGTCCTGGCTACCTAAAGAGAGTCGGGGGATTACTGTGGTAGCCATCCATATAAATCACATGTAAAGATATATTTTAATCACGGTAAAAACCTTGTGATCCTAACTGAATTTGCTCTTAGCACTATAGGAGAAGTGTTGGCATTTTAAGGATAAAGGCGCAATGAGCATGTGTCTTATACTACTGTGGCAATTGGATTAGCGATTCAGTAGTGAGTGACCTAGAGTTGTCTTTGCAATAGGCATTACGGTGAAGAAGTTGCGGTGACACATACTTGTCGCTGGAGATGGAGCAGTCGGTGACGGTGCGTACGTCTGTGTTGAGGATGATGAAGGGGAGATGGATGACAGAGCTGGAAGGGGGAGGGGCCAGGGAGGAAGCCTCACTGGCTTTGTTTCTCTGCACTAGGTTCTTAAAAGAGATTTGCTGTTTGAGGAGAGACGAGCAATGTTTAGAAACACATTTTAGGTGCATTTGATTTAGTTCGCCTGGCTACGGTATTCCATCAATCTTCCATTGGTCCTAAAGTGCAAACTTTCAAACACACCTATCCACACAGACACTTTTAAATACATTGTTACTACAGCTACAGCTAATCTTATCGATACATACTTCAAAAACATGTATCCCCAAACTACACAAACACACATTGTCAATCTCTGAAGGTTGAGCGTGTATGGTTAATGAGTGGAACTACATCATACGTCACGCATGGGGCCACAAGTCTTTCCTGGTCAGGTTATGTGGCCAGGAAAAACACCTGGCCCTACCATATAGTGGCTAAATCGATTCTGAGGGAAAACCTCAGAGGAATCGGTGCTTAGACTGAAGCTTAAATCTAGCTTTAGAGTGAGTTACCTTCACCAGGGCAGAGCAAAAGGTAGCTAACATACCATCAGTCGGAGATGCAAAGAATGACAACTATCCATGGTGCGGTACATTTCAAGAAACAGACTGTGAATACATTTCGGTGATCGCCGAGTCCTTCTCACAGGGAGAAGTAATCAATCAAGAGATCTCCGACCACGCCCACATCCACACCCTCTGGCCTCCTGGGAACTCCACGGGGTCACACAAAAGTTCCCTTTCATATGCTATTGAGATGCTAACGATAGGCTGGTGTTTTTCAATGGATGTATAGATGGACAGCTGCCTAGCTCATCCCTCATGACCAAGGTATCTGACTTTCCGCTCTCTCCCTCGCACACAAGCACACGCACAAAGAGATAAGCGTGTGCGCACACACACACCAGGGACTGCTCCGTACCTGCAGTATGAGTTCTTCCAGCTGAGTTCTCTTCTGCCTGATCCTCTTCAGGCTTTTCTGTTTCTCCACCTGATTAGGGAAACCGTTTATTAAGCATTTTAGAAAGGACTGGCATAACATAACTGTCTAATAGTACACCATATAAAGCATCTCAAAGCACTTGTAAAGCAAAGAAAACAAGCAATTAAAAAAGAAATATACAACAGTAGCTAGATCACCATATGGAGTTATTTTTGAGTGCTTCTTGAAGCCTCCAATGGGCAGCCACGGTCATAACTAGTAGATAACTAGAAGTAGATGGTCAGCGGTGGTGGTGGTCAGTGTACAGTCTGTGCCCCTCCTCCATTCAACCTCCACTCCACCTTAACCCTGTGCTCCAACAGAACCCTACCCATATCTCACCACTCAGACTGTTAGTATCGTTCTTTAAGTAACTGACCAGACTAAAGCAAGACAATGACTACTTGTATTGTCAGACAGTAGATGGCATGCTAAAATGCTCTGCTGTCAAAACAGGCCAGCTGTAGGAGTACTCCACTCTCCGTCTCCCCGCTCCCTCCCTTACTCCCTGTCACCATCATGCCCTCCACCAGAATGGGTCACTGTGTGTGTGTGTCTTTGTGTGTTTATCGTGACAGATCTATATTCTGCAGGAAGTTTACACATGATACAGAAGAGGACTGAAAGGGTCTTTCGTTTATCTTCCCCTTTCCTTTGTCTGTGCTCCCCTCACTCCCTTTCCCTCCGTCCGCAAGTCCCTCTTTTCCTGAGGTGAGTGACAGATGTCATGGAGTGGCTCACTTTCAGCTCCCAGAGAGAGTTCTGCTGGTTTAAAGTGTGTGTGTGTGTGTAAGATCACCTCCAGGTTTTGACACTCCTGGGCAGAGTTGTTGGGCAGGCCAATCCAGCGGATCTCCTTCTTCTCCTTGGAGATGATATTCATGGCCATCAGCACGTTGAGGGCGTCATACACGCGCCTGCGGATGTTCTTCTGGTCATAAACCTGCTGGGGAAGGAGGAGGATAGAGAGAAAATAGTGAGGAAAGAGAAAAGAAAAGAGAACAAATAAGAGAAGAGCAAGGAAACAGAGAATAGCAGAGAAGAGGTTATGATTCTAGGCTTGTCTTGAGGGGTCAAGGGGCATTACATTGACATTTTAGTCATTTAGCAGACACTCTTATCCAGAGAGACTTACAGTTAGTGAGTGCATACATTTGAATACTGGCCCCCTGTGGGAAACGAACCCACAACCCTCGCGTTGCAAGCGCCTGTCACGAATTCTGCCGAGACTGCTCCTCCTCCTTGCTCGGGCAGGCTTCGGCGTTCGTCGTCCCCGGAGTACTAGCTGCCACCGTTGAATGTTTCGATGTGCGTTTGGTTTGGTCTGTCTGTTACACCTGTGTCCGTTTGAGTCTGATTATGTGCCCTATAAGTTTCCTGTGTTGTTTTCGTTAGTTTGTGTGTTATTGTCCGCCTGTCCGTTGGTGTAACCTGTGCAGTACTCTGGACTTTGTTTATTGTTACGCACTGTGTTGCGTTGTCGCTCGCCTCCTTTGTTGAGGCCCTTTAATTTTGGTACTGTTTTACAGTTAGTAAAGTCTCGTTTGACTCAGCCTATGCGTCCTGCGTCTGACTCCTCAACCGCATCCACATCAACACTGACAGCGCCATGCTCTACCAACTGAGCTACACGGGGTATCTCATTAGTAACTGTCCCATGGTGTGTGCCCCTGGCCCGGACTACCTACTACCCCTCCGGAGGTGCACTGACTGCTAGCCTAGCCCTCATGGTTAATCTGTTTTTAATTAATGATACTTTTTAACATTCCACAGGAAGTAAGCAGATTAGGTCTGGGGCCAAGCTATTTTTAAGTGGCCGTGTCATTATTAATACCGGAAAGTATTCAGAGGTTGGCCTCCTCCCCACTATTAAAACAGCCTAACTTTCAGTCAGACTCCTCCAACACAATGCTTTGGGACGCAAGGGAACCGTTTGCAACATAAACAACATTCCATAGTCTCTACGAGCTCAAATCTGTCATTCGTTAATTGATTTTCTTGAACAGTTTATGAATGGAAAAACAAACGTATCTAACAAGAAAATTTTGCTGCAAAAATGCATCGCCGTTTTGCTGTCTCATGTTAAATTGGACCTATTTTATTTATTTATTCAGGTTAGCCCAATTGAGACCAGGGTCTCATTCCCAATGGTCTCCTGAGTACAACAATTTTCTCACAAACAGGAAGAAAAATGTACATCACAAATAAAACAATAATAAAAGAATAACCACGTGTTGAGTGTTATCCACTAGCCTGTTGACCAGATCAGTTTATTCTTTAGTTGTGCATGAAAGGTGATGTTAGAGGCATTGGCTAAAGTATAGTCAGATATGGCCACCAGGCTAGATCCTCTCAACAACCCCCTGCAATACTTTATCATTCTACTGACACAATGGGTTAGAGGACCACGGTGCTAGCAACACCAAGGCTTTGTTCATTAGGGCATGCAATGGGAAAATATAACCGAAGACAAGCCCCGTTTCTCATTGCACAAGTCCAGGTAGTCCCTCCCTGTTTCATTCCGTTTTCTTCCGTTTGGTGCCTAATGAACACAACCCAGGCTTGTGGGTTTGACTCCTGCATGGGCCACATACACTGACTGTGTCGCTGTCAACCGTAAGTGGTTTTGGATGAAAGTGTCTAAGTGACCATAGTATTTACGGACTCACCGAGTATGTGGCCATGACGGTGGTGGAGTGGGTGAACTCAGCCACCAGTTCGTCGGCCACCGCGTTGTAGGAAGTGGCGCCTTTCTTCTGCACCTTCTCACACACCTTCATGGAGAAATGCCTCAGGCCCTTCCCGTTCTTATTGGCCTTATTCAGCCGCTTGCTGTGGTGGAGAGATCACAAAGAAGCAACCGACACATAAATGACCAGACGGTCACAACATCTACGGCTAGCATGCACAGGATACAGTAGGTGTAAACAGTACAGTGAAATGCTAACCAAGATGACACACACACACACACACTACACCTCCAACTCTACACTTACTTGTCAAACCTCACCTCACACACATAGGCGTATAAAAATCTAAACAATACAGTGGGGAAAAAAAGTATTTAGTCAGCCACCAATTGTGCAAGTTCTCCCACTTAAAAAGATGAGAGAGGCCTGTAATTTTCACCATAGGTACACGTCAAGTATGACAGACAAAATGAGAAAAAACTATCCAGAAAATCACATTATAGGATTTTTAATGAATGTATTTGCAAATTATGGTGGAAAATAAGTATTTGTTCAATAACAAAAGTTTCTCAATACTTTGTTATATACCCTTTGTTGGCAATGACACAGGTCAAACGTTTTCTGTAAGTCTTCACAAGGTTTTCACACACTGTTGCTGGTATTTTGGCCCATTCCTCCATGCAGATCTCCTCTAGAGCAGTGATGTATTGGGGCTGTCGCTGGGCAACACAGACTTTCAACTCCCTCCAAAGATTTTCTATGGGGTTGAGATCTGGAGACTGGCTAGGCCACTCCAGGACCTTGAAATGCTTCTTACGAAGCCACTCCTTCGTTGCCCGGGCGGTGTCTTTGGGATCATTGTCATGCTGAAAGACCCAGCCACATTTCATCTTCAATGCCCTTGCTGATGGAAGGAGGTTTTCACTCAAAATCTCACGATACATGGCCCCATTCATTCTTTCCTTTACACGGATCAGTCGTCCTGGTCCCTTTGCAGAAAAACAGCCCCAAAGCATGATGTTTCCACCCCCATGCTTCACAGTAGGTATGGTGTTCTTTGGATGCAACTCAGCATTCTTTGTCCTCCAAACACGACGAGTTGAGTTTTTACCAAAAAGTTATATTTTGGTTTCATCTGACCATATGACATTCTCCCAATCCTCTTCTGGATCATCCAAATGCACTCTCGCAAACTTCAGACGGGCCTGGACATGTACTGGCTTAAGCAGGGGGACACGTCTGTCACTGCAGGATTTGAGTCCCTGGCGGCGTAGTGTGTTACTGATGGTAGGCTTTGTTACTTTGGTCCCAGCTCTCTGCAGGTCATTCACTAGGTCCCCTCGTGTGGTTCTGGGATTTTTGCTCACTGTTCTTGTGATCATTTTGACCCCACGGGGTGAGATCTTGCGTGGAGCCCCAGACCGAGGGAGATTATCAGTGGTCTTGTATGTCTTCCATTTCCTAATAATTACTCCCACAGTTGATTTCTTCAAACCAAGCTGCTTACCTATTGCAGATTCAGTCTTCCCAGCCTGGTGCAGGTCTACAATTTTGTTTCTGGTGTCTTTTGACAGCTCTTTGGTCTTGGCCATAGTGGAGTTTGGAGTGTGACTGTTTGAAGTTGTGGACAGGTGTCTTTTATACTGATAACAAGTTCAAACAGGTGCGATTAATACAGGTAACGAGTGGAGGACAGAGGAGCCTCTTAAAGAAGAAGTTACAGGTCTGTGAGAGCCAGAAATCTTGCTTGTTTGTCGGTGACCAAATACTTATTTTCCACCATAATTTGCAAATAAATTCATAAAAAATCCTACAATGTGATTTTCTGGAAAAAAAATTCTCAATTTGTCTGTCATAGTTGACGTGTACCTATGATGAAAATTACAGGCCTCTCTCATCTTTTTAAGTGGGAGAACTTGCACAATTGGTGGCTGACTAAATACTTTTTTCCCCCACTGTATAACACGCAATGGACTCAGTGGATCAGACAATACAATGTATACAATCATTAAAAACTAATGTAAAACAATGAGTTTCTCTCCAACAATGGCACAAGCAAAAGCACACATGTGAAAACCATGATACATTAACATAAGCCTGATGGAGCTTGGCATGTATGTGAAGACCATAGATTGTGCACCCGCTGACACTTTGACACTCGCCTTCAATGTGCGGTCACAGAATCACGTGACGTGCGCTCATTAGACGCACCGCTCATTGATGCTTCAAATTAGTATATGGCTTTATTCTCAGTACACATGCAGAGCAAATGTGTCAAAGCGTACTCATAATATTTAATGACTCCCCAATATCAGTGTATTTGAAACTATACTAAAGGCTGAATGTTAATATCACTATTGGGGATATACTATAGTAATGGGTTGTGTTCCAAATGGCACTCTATTCCCTATATAGTGCACTACCCCATAAGGCTCTGGTCAAAAGTAGTGCACTAGGTAGGGAATAGGGTGCCATTTGAGACGCATCCATGGTTGTGGTTGGAGCAGCATTTTCTACCCCTACACTCAGAAAATGTATCTGGGTTGCTTCGAGAACCCCCACTCTTGACATATTTTTAACCTCCCATGAGACATTCATATCAAATGAGTGCAGTTTTAAAGGCTGAATCTCAATTCTTGAGAATGTGTGTGTGTGTCTCTGGGAATCACACACCTTGCTACTAGCTAGTTTTTTCCATTGAGGTAATGCAGGGTGTATTTGTGCTTCTATCCCCGGCCATTCAGAACAGTACACAAATCAAAGCACTGCCTGTCGAATCCTGACATGCTTTATAGTATGTCAGGAGTCATGGCATGCTGCCACACAAGTCCTCTTGCATTTGCTGTGTTGCAGGCACACATGTCCTCCTTCTCACAATGGCTCCAGTGTAACATAGTTCCTCTAGCACCCTGTAGGGCTACCCCCAGGGAGAGGGGAAGGGAGGAGAGAGGGATTCTCGCATTTCATTACGAGTCACCGCCTCCACATGTAGCTGAAGCGCTATCGTTCATCATTTCACGAGGATCAGATGTCTGTGTGTGTACAAATAGTAAAAAAATCCCATTCTCAAATCAGCAGAAACAGGGGAACTTTGGGTGAACGTGAATACAAATGGGAGAAAATGATCTGTGATGAACCGTTAGGCTACACGTGATGCGCCGCCCACACAGCAGTGATACAATCACTTGCTCATTCAGGGGCTTGTTCTCTGTGATTTACGCACCAAGAGAAACCGAGAGGGGGGGGGGGGGGGTAGTTGGGCATGGAGAAAAAAAAAAGAGGAATCAGGCTAAAAAGAGATATCGGAGCAAAGAAAAGAGAGAGAAAGAGAGGAAGAGAGAGGGGGGTATCAACGGAGCAGGGGGAGTTTTATAGACAGACATATTGCGTGTGTGTGTATGTGTGTTCAGGTGAGCGGATTATTTAACCATCATTAGGGTTGTTAGACAGTCGTGGAGCACACAATACAGATGTAACACATTTGGCGACGTGCAATTGGCTAAACGCACTGTGATGTAGAAAATGATGTCACATGCCAAGGGGCGCAGGCAGAATGTGCATATGCATGAGGCCATTTATGTGTGAGAGAAAGAGAACAGTGAGAGACAGGAACAGAGAGATGGGGGAGAGCGAGACAACAGAGATAGAGACTATGCAAGTAGACAGGACAGAGACATGTAAAGACCGGCGCACACACGCAGCCGAGTGAGAAATCAAGTGTCCATTCACAAACATCCCCCACCCTCGCGCTACACGAACATACGCACTCTCTCCCACACAGCACAGTTCACTCTAACACGCAGTACAGTAGAGAGTAGGAGACCACTGCAGAGCCGCTCGTTACATAACTGGCTCTCTGTGGAGCACACACACGTGCAGAGGGGAAGACCGTGTGTGTAGTGTATGAGGTAGGAGGTGGGGATGGCAAGGCGCTGCGTGGTGGAAGCTTAGGGTTGCAGTTGTCAGGACAAATTAGTTCCAGACCCCCAGCTAGCTAGTGAAATGTGTGGGGGAGGGGGGGGAGTGACAAGACAAGAAACAGGCTGGAGAAATGGTGGTGAATGTGCCATAACGGGTAGAGGGATTGTAATCAGTCGTGTGAGGAAAAACACACACACACACACTCAGTTCCGCAGAAACGACAGAGGGACTTTTTCTCCTTAGCAACAGAGGTGTCGCTCTGCACCCCGGCCGGTGCTGTAGTGGGAGTCTGAGGAGTGTTTATTGGCAGTGTGTCTGCAGAGTGGATCAGTGGATCAGTGGGGGAGAGGGATGACCTTTCACTGAACAGCACAGAGCAGAGCCAACACATCCGGGGGCTGGGCCCTGAGAAGAGCTCCTCTCACCTGGTGCTTGTGAGTGGGGAGAGGGAAGAATAAATTATAGACGACAGAAGAGATGGACAGAACGGAGAGAGAGAGAAACCAGAGATCTGAGCTTACGAGGACCAAACATGACGGAGAGAATCCTCAGTCTTGCGCAGTGTAGGTGAGAAGGAGCGGGTATCAGAGGGAGAGAGTTGTGAGTTTGAAAACAACAGAGGTAGAAGGAGTGAAGGAGCATGAGTGGCTGTGCGATTGAATGTGTGTGTGAGAGAGAGAGAGATTGGTTTCATCGGTCTTACTATGTGTTGAATTAATTATTCACTGCTGAGAACGTGGCCTGCAGGAAGCACAGACTCTCACAGGCCTTTAATATTTGAGTGCATGCTGCTCAAGGAACCATTTCCACACACACTCTAGGGCTACACGATCTGGACAAAATATCTCATTGCAATTATTTCGCCAGATATTGGAATTGCGATTATGAATTGCAATTTTCAAACACTTGGGTGGAAAACCTGGTAATTCCATCAGACATGGTTAAAACAACTGTCAAGGTAGAGAACGTCACTTCTAAAAAATGAGATCATATGAATGAACACATACTGTAGCTAGCTAACTGAATATAAAATCAAAAGAAACAAATATTTTCCAACATTGTTATAGGTTACATATGATAATACAGTGTATTCGGAAAGTATTCAGACCCCTTGACTTTTTCCACATTTTGTTATTATAAAATGGATTTAAAAAAACTTTTCCTCACCAATCTACACACAATACCCCATAATGACAAAGCAAAAACTGATTTTTAGAAATGTTTGCTAATTTCTTTAAAAAACAAAACTGAAATATCACATTTCCATAAGTATTCAGACCCTTTACACAGCGATTACAGCCTCGAGTCTTCTTGGGTATGATGCTACAAGCTTGGCACACTTGTATTTGGGGAGTTTCTCCCATTCTTCTCTGCAGATCCTCTCAAGCTCTGTCAGGTTGGATGGGGAGCGTCGCTGCACAGGTCTCTCCAGAGATGTTAGATCGGGCTCTAGCTGGGCCACTCAAGGACTTGTTCTGAAGCCACTCCTGCGTTGTCTTGGCTGTGTGCTTAAGGTCATTGTCCTGTTGGAAAGTGAACCTTCGCCCCAGTCTGAGGTCTGGAGCACTCTAGAGCAGGTTTTCATCAAGGATCTCTCAGTACTTTGCTATGTTCATCTTTCCCTCGATCCTGACTAGTCTCCCAGTCCCTGCTGCTGAAAAACATCCCCACAGCATGATGCTGCCACCACCATACTTCACCGTAGGGATGGTGCCAGGTTTCCTCCAGACGTGACGCTTGCCATTCAGGCCAAAGAGTTCAATCTTGTTTCATCAGACCAGAGAATTTCTCATGGTCTGAGTCTTTGGGTGCCTTTTGGCAAACTCCAAGTGGGCTGTCATGTGCCTTTTTACTGAGGAGTGGCTTCCATCTGGCCACCCTACCATAAAGGCCTGAATGGTGGAGTGCTGCAGAGATGGTTGCCCTTCTGCTGTAGTGAGCCAGCAGTGACCTGATCTCTCAGGGGGGAGTGTGTGCGTGTATATGTATGTGTGTGTGTCAGACTGAGATGCACTCTGGACAAAAAAAAAAAAAAAAAGCCAGAGATTGCAGCCGAGCTCTTAAGCAGCCCTCCCCCCTTTTCCTACACATGCTCCGCACACATGCACATCACCTCAATCTACATTTTGCTGATCCTGGCCGTTACCTGGCTGAAGAGTCTCCTGAGCACAGCCCATCCCTGCACAGCAACCACAGACAGAGAAATCGTTAGTTTGTTTACTGTTTAAGATGAATTCAATATTCAAAACTATGTTAAGTGTGTGTATGTGTGTCAGTGGTCAGTCCTCCTAGATTAAAACCCATTCTATTGCCTAATGAACTGGTTTGCTTTGGAAATAATGCGACGCTTCAGCTCAATGAGATGCTGTGAGAGAATGACCAAAAGCATTTTTTCTCTCCCTCTCTCGATCCGTTTCTCTCGCCCTCTCTCGCGCCCTCTTTCGCCAAAACTCCTTCTCCCTCTATCCCTCTTTCTATCGTTATATCGGTCTCCATCTGCGACTTGTTTGACTGGATAATCCTCCTGCACTGTTCCTGTCATTTATTTATTTATATTTAAGCAATAAGGCCCGAGGAGGTGTGGTATATGGCCAATATACCACAGCTAAGGACTGTTCTTAAGCACGACGCTGTCAGCCAATCAGCATTCGTGGCTCGAACCACCTGGTTTATCCTCTATATCAGTCCTCTATATATTATCCTCTATACAGTATATCATTCCTACATATATTATCTGTCAATCCATAGGCTAACAGGCCACAATAAATACATTACATTGGAAATCTCTACCTAGCAATCCCTGCCTGGGGTGTGTGTGTGTGTGTGTGTGTGGTGTCTGCATTAACAACAATAGTAGTCAGAATAGCAGAATCAACCCACCGGTCAGATAAATATGAGTCAATGAAATCATGCGTTCGTTTCTTGGCCCTGGAAATTAAAATGAAAAAGGGATGCTAGTTAATAAAAAAGAAATACAGTGGATCCTCCTTTACTTAAATTATTATGTTCTGGAAACAGATCAGCAAAGATAAGACCACTTTACAACAACATATGATTATAGTGTGCAACAAAACAGGGCAGTGGAATGTGTGTGTGTGCGCGCACTCGAGCAAACAAGCAACAAGTGTACTTGAGCAAATGAAAAAAAAGTGTGCGTCGCAGCTCACCCTGGGGTCCACTTGTTGGCGTCCTGCGTGTGTCCCTGGGCGACCATGGTGGGCGTGTGTGTAAAGGAGCTACCTATGAGAATATTCCCTGTGCCGTGCTGATAATCTACACACACACAAAATAAATAAGAAACATCAGAGGGGTGCATCAGATCGCAGGGTTGTGTTCATTTGGGCACACCGACGTAAAACGCAACGGACATGATTGAACGGATGCAAGGATGTCAGGTGATACAAAGAATATTGGTAGCCAGGGTGTCACGATCGTCGGGAAGAGAGGACCAAGGCGCAGCGTGGAATGCGAACATATTTTATTTTAAATAATGATCACACAAACAAAACAACAAAACGATAACGTGACGTCCCTGGTTACATACACAAACCAACACGGAACAAGAAACCACACCAAACGAATGCCTAACGGCTACCTAAGTATGGCTCCCAATCAGAGACAACGAGCTACAGCCGTCTCTGATTGGGAGCCACCCTGGCCAACATAGAAATGCAAAACTAGACCCACAACCTACAACACAAAACATAGAAACTAACACCCTGGCTCAACATACGAGAGTCCCCCGAGCCAGGGCGTGACAGTACCCCCCCTAAAGGCGCGGACTCCGACCGCGCCAACCAAACACAACAGGGGAGGGACCGGGTGGGCACTCCGCCTCGGATCCGGATCCGGGCATGACCCCCACTCCCTCTCTAACCCCCCAAAGCGTCCCTGGTCCGGTCTGGCCCTGCTGGCCGGAGCTGGACTGAACACTGGTGGAGCGGATTGCTCTAGCTCCGGAGTGGAGCAGCTGACCGGTGCCGGACCAGGCACAGGTGGAACAGGCACGGGCTGTGCCGGACTGACGACGCGCACCACAGGCTTGGTGTGGGGAGCAGGGACGGGCCGGACAGGGCTGACGACGCGCACCATTGGCTTGGTGCGGGGAGCAGGGACGGGCCGAACCGAACCGGACTGACGACGCGCACCATTGGCTTGGTGCGGGGAGCAGGGACGGGCCGAACCGGGCTGGCGACGCGCACCATTGGCTTGGTGTGGGGAGCAGGAACAGGCCGGGCCGGGCTGGCGACGCACACCATAGGCTTGGTGCGGGGAGCAGGAACAGGCCAGGCCGGGCTGGCGACGCGCACCATTTGCTTGGTGCGGGGAGCAGGAGCAGGCCGGGCAGGGCTGGCGACGCACACCATTGGCTTGGTGCGGGGAGCAGGAACAGGCCGGGCCGGGCTGGCGACGCGCACCATTGGCTTGGTGCGGGGAGCAGGGACGGGCCGAACCGGGCTGGCGACGCGCACCACAGGCTCGGTGCGAGGCACAGGAACAGGCCGGACCGTACTAGGGACACACACCACTGGCCCCTACGCGGGGATCAGGAACAGGCCGGACCGGACTGGTAACACACCCCAGTACCTCTCGCCGTGCCTCTACACTTTCCTCCCCTTTTGTGACCAGTGGCCCCCGTAACCTGGCGGCCTCCTCTACTAACCGCTCTATCGCGGCCTCCTGCTGCCCCGTCGTCCACGGCGTGAGCCCCCCCCCTAAAACTTTTCTGGGGGTCTCTCCTCCCCGTGGGCCAGGCCTCCATAGTTCTCGCCCAACTCTCGCTCTTCTGCTTCCAACTCCAGCCTCTCTCCTCCTCACACGGCTTGACCCAGTCGAGGTGGCACAGGAGATCCGCTAGAGATTCTCCTGGCGATGGCTCCTGGACACGCTGCTTGGTCCAGTTTTGGTGGTTTCTTCTGTCACGATCGTCGGGAAGAGAGGACCAAGGCGCAGCGTGGAATGCGAACATATTTTATTTTAAATAATGATCACACGAACAAAACGATAACGTGACGTCCCTGGTTACATACACAAACCAACACGGAACAAGAAACCACACCAAACGAATGCCTAACGGCTACCTAAGTATGGCTCCCAATCAGAGACAACGAGCTACGGCCGTCTCTGATTGGGAGCCACCCTGGCCAACATAGAAATGCAAAACTAGACCCACAACCTACAACACAAAACATAGAAACTAACACCCTGGCTCAACATACGAGAGTCCCCCGAGCCAGGGCGTGACACAGGGTCCTGTTCATTAGGCACCAAATAAAAAAATAAAAAGGGAAGGGCAACCTGAAGCCCTCATTTTTGTTTTCAGTTTCAAAACATATTCCGTTTGACGCTCTAATGAACACCGCCCAGGTGAGTCATTGAGAACAGATTCTGTGCCAAGAAGTGGGTGATTCTCTGTGTGGTGACTGAGCACTGAGCAGGATCAGGTTGGGTGTAATATTTGAGAGGCCTGCTATGCAGAAGTGTCTCGAAGCCGGAGCCCAACAAAAGAGACAAGATCAGCAGGACGCAGCAGAGTGCTAATAATAACCCCAGCTAATTATAGCATGCTACAGTCAGTCTGCAGTCCCCCACACGCTATTCCTTCTCCTCCGAGCCAGACCTTTCTTTTACACTACCACACTGGAAGAGGATGGGAGATCTGGGGTGTATTCATTAGCACACACCGTAGCAAAACACTTCGCAAAGGAAGACGTTTTGTAACGAAAACGAGAATTTGTTATTGGACAAATTCAGACATTCGGAGCGTATGCTTTCATTTGGTACCTGGTGAATACACCTCTGATCATCGACTCGACTCTTAACTCTTATTGACAGAATCCCAACAGATGGCTTTCATGAAGAACAAAAAACCTGCAGCAGTGGCTGTATTTCCGTGAACGTAACATTATAGCCAATCAATTAGAAAAAAGCCAATTTACTAGCTTAATCGCTCAACTCAATCACACTCTTTTATGCTAATTGCATACATTGAAATTGTCACACTGTCTGTTTCACACTATATAGCAGTGTTGCCATGCCTCTGCTATCAACCCATCACAGTCCAGGGGACTCCTTCTTTCCTCCAATCAAATCAAATGTTATTTGTCACATGCTTCGTAAACAACAGGCGTAGACTAACAGTGAAATGCTTACTTATGGGCCCTTCCCAACAACGTAGAGAGAGAAAAATCGAGAAATAATAGAAAAGTAATACCACGTAATAATAAAAGTAATACTAAATACACAATGAGTAACAATAACAGGATAGATGGGAGGTGTTGAATGGAATTGAAGGATGGGACTAATAACAACTAACAACAAATAATAACAAGATAACTAATAATGTAAGCATACTGTGTCCATGATAAGTATATAGGTTGTAGGTTGGGAGCTTTTGTGAAAGAGCACAGTTAGAAATATATGGCATATAGAAGCAAACCGGATGGACATCATGAAAATGATCGGAGAGGTTGAGAGTAGAGGAAGTTCAGGAGAAAAAAAAAAATATATATATAATTATTGTAAAATTGACTGTCTCCATAAAATGTAGATAGTAGGTATAAACTGGAAGTAGAGGCCTAAGCATTGTTGTTCACTAGTTTACTCCAAGTAGGGAAAGGGTGGTGGGGTTGGAAAGGGGAATATATATATATTTTTTAAGGGTTATGTATGTGTATGTATGTGTGTATGTATGTATGTACAGTGAGGGAAAAAAGTATTTGATCCCCTGCTGATTTTGTACGTTTGCCCACTGACAAAGACAGGATTTCAGTCCTTCACGGCGTAGTGTGTTACCAATTGTTTTCTTGGTGACTATGGTCCCAGCTGCCTTGAGATCATTGACAAGATCCTCCCGTGTAGTTCTGGGCTGATTCCTCACCGTTCTCATGATCATTGCAACTCCACGAGGTGAGATCTTGCATGGAGCCCCAGGCCGAGGGAGATTGACAGTTATTTTGTGTTTCTTCCATTTGCGAATAATCGCACCAACTGTCGTCACCTTCTCACCAAGCTGCTTGGCGATGGTCTTGTAGCCCATTCCAGCTTTGTGTTGGTCTACAATCTTGTCCCTGACATCCTTGGAGAGCTCTTTGGTCTTGGCCATGGTGGAGAGTTTGGAATCTGATTGATTGATTGCTTCTGTGGACAGGTGTCTTTTATACAGGTAACAAGCTGAGATTAGGAGCACTCCCTTTAAGAGTGTGCTCCTAATCTCAGCTCGTTACCTGTATAAAAGACACCTGGGAGCCAGAAATCTTTCTGATTGAGAGGGGGTCAAATACTTATTTCCCTCATTAAAATGCAAATCAATTTATAAAAATTTTGACATGCGTTTTTCTGGATTCTTTTGTTGTTATTCTGTCTCTCACTGTTCAAATAAACCTACCATTAAAATTATAGACTGATAATTTCTTTGTCAGTGGGCAAACGTACAAAATCAGCAGGGGATCAAATACTTTTTTCCCTCACTGTAGGTGTTCCTCTTGTCCAGGTGGGAGAGGGCAGTGTGTGGTGCAATAGAGATTGCATCATCTGTGGATCTGTTGGGCGATATGCGAATTGGAGTGGGTCCAGGATGTCTGGGATGATGGTTTTGTGAGCAATGACCAGCCTTTCAAAGCATTTCATGGCTACAGATGTGAGTGTTACGGGTTAAAGGGTTACCTTGGCGTTCTTGGGCACAGAGATTATGGTGGTCTGCTTGAAACATGTAGGTATTACAGACTGGGTTAGGGAGTGGTTGAAAATGTCAGTGAAGACACTTGCCAGCTGGTCAGTGCATGCTCTTAGTACGCGTCCTGGTAATCCGTCTGGCCCTGTAGCCTTGTGAATGTTAACCTGTTTAAAGGTCTTACTCACATCGGCTACGGAGAGCATGATCACACAGTCATCCGGAACAGCTGGTGCTCTTATACATGGTTCAGTATTGCTTGCCTCAAAGCGAGCATAAGAGGCATTTAGCGTGTCAGGTAGGCTAGCGTCACTGGGCAGCTAGTGGCTGGGTTTCCATTAGTAATCCGTGATACTTTGCAAGCCACACTTTATTTTCAATGGGCATTGCGTATACTCAGTTATTAATCCCTTCTGACAGGCCCACCCAATCAGATTGATGTGGTTTAAGCATTGTTGTGGACTTGAACCGTCAAATGTGTACTTTTTCTATAAAAATAAGTGTGATTTTGAGAGTGAGAATCAGTAAAAATCTATAGGAAAACCTTTTTCTTTTTAAACATAGGATTTTTCACAGGTGCCTTTCCTTCGCTGGGCGGGCCATTTGTGAACTCTTTGGCAAAATTAGAGTATACCCACTTCTCCAGGCACCACTGCACCACTGTATAGGGCCAATGGAAAGACAGCAGTCACACACAGCATTATGTTAAAGGATAAGCATTCCATAAACTCTGACATAATAAGCCAGTAGGTCCCAATCATAAGAATACAAAAACACAACCATTAAGCATTTCCCAATCGAAATGTACAACTATTACTTCCCATTGCAAAAAGCATTTCGTGTTTAGCACACGAAGTAACCAGTGACCTGAAGTTTAAAGTGGAACTGACAGCGTTTTAACTACTTTGCAGACAATCATAACATCAGTCAAAAATATAATATTACCAGTTTATGCTACAAAACCAACTTTAAGAGGTTGACTCAACGTTCCATGACGTACACTAAGGCATAGTTTGCAGAATAGATGGATGCAATTCAATGCATGATTAATATAATTCACCAATACATTTATTGGTAGTCCAAAAACTATTGCTATCAGGTTGTAAATCACAGTTGGCCTGGTACATTGTTTGCTGCCTCCATTCGGGATGCATTGTTTCAGTTTCAATGACGCAATATTCTGGACAAAAATGGTTGAATGTAACTAACGCTGTGAATGTCAATACAATCAAAGTAGCAAGGGCAATGATCACAAGTCAGTCATAATGTGGCTAATAGGCTAGCATATCTATTTATGTAGCAAGCTAAAAACATGCCATTGGAGGAGTGGGTGAGTGACTGACTTTTCCCCCTCATATTGTTTTTCGGTGGCTATACAAAGCTAGAGTTCCAGGTGTCATTTGGTTAGCTAGCAATAACCTGAACAACTTATCCAGTTGGCATATCTCTTGCGTTTTCAAATTCACTCTGGCTATCTACTCCGATTTCAGAGCACTCTCGTCCGAGTGTGCCAGAGCGCAGAACTGATGAATTTACGAACATGCAACACCCACTGAATATGACCAGTGTCAATAAACGTAGGCAAAAAAAGTAATAGTTAGTCAAGAACGCTCTAGATAACATGTAAACAGCCTAACCAGCTCTGCTACTATGAGTAAAATGGTCAGAGTGAGATGTTCTCTCATTTGTGTCTGGAAGTAGCTAGCTAGCAAACTAGCCAACTTTAGCCAGTTAGCATGGGTGCTTGGTTGGGACAAGCATGCATTGGCAGGCAAGCTGCAGAAGGACGAGGAGGCTACAATTCCCCATAGTTTATCAGTGCAATTTTGACGGCCAACTAGCTGAAAAAGTTTGAGAGGGTTTATCTAATGTTCCTTCATTATATTTTAGCTCATCATGCTCTGGCGAGCATTAGTTGTTGATCTTGTTGTTGTTGATGTGCATAACTGAGGGAGAGAGAGCCTACCTTTTCATGGTTGTTTGATCAATAGGACTGTAAAGTTCTCAAATGTAAGAAGACTCCTGTTGTGTTTACATATTTGCAGAAATCCATTAAGGTGTATTTTGTGGCTTTTGGCGAATGCGTTCTAATGATGTAAAGTCACACTGTTGCAACTGCCTGTAAACACACAGTAAGGTTAAAAGTGAATGATGGCAGGGCCGTGTGGCAAATGGCTTGTTTGTACAAAGGCCTACTGTAGCTCTGATTGGCTATAGCGCACTGGTCTGTGTAGACTTCTGTCCTGGACAAGACAGTTGTTTTTATTCGTGTTTTTTTTACTGCAGTGTCTATTAATTGTCCAAACACATGGCCACTTTCCCACTCTATATTGCTATAGAATTTTCACAAATGCCTTAGTATACATAATTCACAAACATTCTAAGAATTTATGAAAATGTGAAAATGACCATATCTAAGTGATTGCTTGTAAGAAAATGTTTTTTTTTTAAATGTAATTCTTCCTGGGGGTGTTTATGAACAGATTTTAAAACAATTTCATGTTGCTAAAATGCTGTCAGTTCCACTTTAAATGCAAAAATGTTTCACACACATAAGTTATTTTCAAAGAGATGGCTAACAGCAGCAAGCGAGCTGCAACAAAAAACACAGTTCAACTCACCAGATGATGATCATTTGAAACTTAACTTCTTGATGAAAGTTATTCTTGAAAAGGGAGAAGCTAACAAATTAGCAACAACATCCTCTTTGACAACACCTGCTGCAGACGCTGCAAACTAGCCGACAACAAAAGCTAGCTAGCTAGACCATGGAAAAACTATTGCTCACAATTGCGCAGTGACCTGTTGGCCTTCAAGAAGGTCATAATGTGATTCCACTGTCACTGCAAAATGTTTCCCTAATACAGTTGAATGGCAGATGGTCCTCTGTAGCTCAATTGGTAGAGCATGGCGCTTGTAATGCCAGGGTAGTGGGTTCGATCCCCGGGACCACCCATACGTTAAAAAAAAATATGCACGCATCACTGTAAGTCGCTTTGGAAAAACGCGTCTGCTAAATGGCTTATTATTATTATTATCTAGCTTCTGATGGCCTAGCCAATTGGCTGATTTAGCTAGCTAGATTTATCTCTCCAGAGACCAGCAAAATAAAATCCTGATTGGATATTTTTTTCTCTTCAGTGTTAACCCTTTCCAACAGAAACTGAAGAGATTAAATCAAAACATCATTGAAAATAATAATATAATTATCATCATTATTATAATATTTTTATAATAATTATTATATAAATCCTTTGCCCTTCTCTGAAGGCGTAGAAGGCCCATTGTTCCCCACTGTATTTGGGTTAGTAATAATTTGTAGAGTGGCTTTATTTTCCCTCAGCATGCATTTTTTTCACTATTCTGAATGTCTAAAGAATCCATATGTTGTTCTGAAATATGAACACAGAAAAACTGGACGTTTTGAACTCTTATTATGGTGGTGATTTGACAAAATTACAATCACGCTCTTGAATTGGACTTGCATTTTTCTGGTCTCGGTCTTGACTCTCTCGGACCCCTTGTCCCCCTCCAGGTCTTGGTCTTGGATCAGTCTCGCTTAAGGTGGTCTCGAATGCAACACTGGTCAGAGACCTGGCAGTGTGTTGCCAGGACAACAACCTCTACCTCAACGTCAGCAAGATAAAGGAGCTGATCGTGGACTACAGGAAACGGAGGGCCAAGCACACCCCCATTCACATTGACGGGGCTGTAGTGGAGCGGGTCGAGAGCTTCAATTACCTCTGTGTCCACATGCCTAAGGATCTACCATGGTCCACACCCACCAACACAGTCGTGAAGAGGGCACGACAACGCCTCTTGACTGGCTGCATCACCGCTTGATATGGCAACGGCATCCGAACTCAAGACGCTACAGAGGGTAGTGTGCATGGCCCATTCCATCACTGGGGCCGAGCTCCCTGCCATCCAAGACCTCTATACCAGCCAGTGTCAGAGGAAGGCCCTAAAAATGTTTTACGGCTCCAGCCACCCAAGTCAGACTGTTTGTGCTGCTACCGCATAGCAAGTGGTACTGATGCACCCAAGTCTGGAACTAACAGAAGCCTGAACAGATTCTACCCCCAAGCCATAAGGCTGCTAAATAGTTAGTCTGGGTAGCTATTTGGTTACCTATTTAACTATCTGCATTTACCATTTTTGCACTAACTTTGACTTATCACACACCTGTTGCTACGGTTTATTATCTATCCTGTTGCCTAGTCACTTTATTCCTAGTTAAATGTACATATCTACCTCAATTACCTCATACCCCTGCACATCGACTCAGCGTGTATTCAGCCAAGCTTTCATTACTCATTGTGTATTTATTATTACTTTTCTATTATTTCTCTATTTTCATTCTCTCTGCATTGTTGCGAAGGGGTAAGTAACAATTCCACTGTTAGTCTACACCTGCTGTTAACGAAGCATGTGACGAATACAATTTTATTTGATCTGACTATCTGAACAATCAATCAGCCTGGGTTGTGTTCATAACCATGAGTGTACAAGAGGCACCAAAATGGTTTTAGGCACCAAAACGGACTGAAACCGGGAGAGAGAGGGACCACCTGGACGCCCAATAAGAAATGTTCATTTTCTTACATGTTTAATTCAGCATTCTTATTGGACATGTCCCCATCCCCCCTAAACCCTGGAGAGTGTGTGCGTGTCTGAGTGAATCACTCACTGAAACACAAAGGCTGTGTCTCAAATGCCACCCTATTTCCTATATTGTGCTCAATATATGCAGAACTTCTGGCCTATATGCAGAATATTTAGCATCACCACAGTGCACAGCCTTTTGTTAGGCTGCCACCATGTGGCCCCTGGTGTAAGTGAGACACACCTGCTTGCCTGCGAGGGTATAGTAAAGCAGGTTGGACCACTAAAAGCAGAAGTTAAGGTGTGCCTGCATCTCAATAGCCTGACATGGACTGCATTCCTCATCTTCTCTCCTTCAAGGGCAGATGAACCAGTGTCAGGTTATTTCACATCAGTTTAGATGAACGAAAGGAGTTGAAGAAAGGAAGCACCTTTAGACTACATGCACATGAAGATTCACCTGAAGTCTTCTGAAAAGTTAGCTGTTATCTACCTGTGTGTCTGGACCTGAGATGTAGTAGCATACAAGAGAGCCTTGACCAGCTAGCTATATGGTCCTTATTAAAGGGATACAACACTCCAACATCCAAGTTTGTCAGATATTGGGAGTGTCCTACAGTCAGGCTGTCCCACAGCACTAATCCCAAAAGTTCCATACCATTCCATATAAACCTTAGGAGTCCCTTTAAGATCATTAAAGAGGGGTTCTTATTTACAGTGCATTCGGAAAGTATTCAGACCCTTTCCCTATTTCCACATTTCCACATTTTCTTACGTTACAGCCTTATTTTAAAACGGATTAAATATGTTTTCCCCCTCATCCATCTACACACAATACCCCATAATGACAATAACGAAAACAGGTTTTTAGACATTTTTGCAAATTTAATAAATATAAAAAACAGAAATACCTTATTTAAAGAAGTATTCAGACCCTTTGCTATAAGAATCAACATTGAGCTCAGGTGCATCCTGTTTCCATTGATCATACTTGAGATGTTTCTACGACTTGATTGGAGTCCAAATGTGGTACATTCAATTGATTGGACATGATTTGGAAAGGCACACAACTGTCTATATAAGGTCCTACAGTTGACAGTGCATGTCAGAGCAAAAACCAAGCCATGAGGTCGAAGGAATTATCCGTAGAGCTCCGAGACAGGATTGTGTCAAGGCACAGATCTGGGGAAGGACACCAAAACATTTCTGCAGCATTGAAGGTCCCCAAGAACACAGTGGCACTCCATCATTCTTAAATGGAAGAAGTTTGGAACCACCAATACTCATCTTAGAGCTGACCGCCCAGCCAAACTGAGCAATCTGGGGAGAAGGGCCTTGGTCAGGGAGGTGATCGAGAACCTGATGGTCACTCTGACAGAGCTCCTCTGTGGAGATGGGAGAACCTTCCAGAAGAACAACCATCTCTGCAGCACTCCACCAATCAGGCCTTTATGGTTGAGTGGCCAGACAGAAGCCACTCCTCATTAAAAGGCACATGACAGCCCACTTGGAGTTTGCCAAAAGACACCCAAAGGACTCTCAGACAATGAGAATCAAGATTCTCTGGTCTCATGAAACCAAGTTTGAACTCTTTGGCGTGAATGCCAAGTGACACTTCTGGAGGAAACCTAGCACCATCCTTACGGTGAAGCATGGTGGTGGCAGCATCATGCTGTGGGGATGTTTTTCAGCAGGCAGGGACTGGGAGACTAGTCAGTATCAAGGGAACGATTAATGGGGCAAAGTACAGAGAGATCCTTGATGAAAACCTGCTCCAGAGAGCTCAGGACCCCAGACTGGGGTGAAGGTTCACCTTCCAACAGGACAACGACCCTCTGAATGTCCTTGAGTGGCCCAGCCAGAGCCCGGACTTGAGCCTGTCGAACATCTCTGGAGAGACCTGTAAATAGCTGGGCAGCGACGCTCCCCATCCAACCTGACAGAGCTTGAGAGGAACTGCAGAGAATAATGTGAGAAACTCCCCAAATACAGGTTTACCAAGCTTGGAGCGTCATACCTTAGAAGACTCGAGGCTGTAATCGCTGACAAAGGTGCTTCAACAAAGTACTGAGTAAAGGGTCTGAATACTTATGTAAATGTAATATTTCCGTTTTTTATTTATAATACATTTGCAAACATTTCTAAAAACCTATTTTTGCTTTGTCATTATTGGGTATTGTTATATATATTTAATACATTTTAGAATAAGGCTGTAACGTAACAATGTGGAAAATGTCAAGGGATCTGAATCCATTCCGAATGCACTCTAAATACCTTGCTGGAATTACAACAGCCGTACCTTATCATAATAAAAAACTAAGGACACAGTGAATTTCTTCATAGTTCATCATTGTTTGTTTTTTTAATATAGCGCACGCTTGCTAAAATGACATGCTGTAAAGATAGCATACATCTGATACAAGACAGCAGACTAACAAAACAGTAGTCTACAAAGGTCACTGTTCAAAACAATACCTGAACTGAAACCAGGCAAACTGTGGAAGTAATAGCCTAAGTAAACTACACAATATTTATTCATTGAAATGAATCATACTGTGCACATTTCCAAAGGTGTATTTCCACATTGTGTGGACAATACATTTTTTACAATTAGATGTTTTTATTCTAACCCTTCAGTAGCCAATCAGAGCATGTACACACACTAGCCTCAAATCTACACAATGCACATCCCTCTTATAATCAAGTACAGTAGGACCTCAGATTTATGTAAATGTTATATTTCCGTTTTTTTTATTTGTATAAATGTGAGAGAAAGAAAAGAAAAAAAAAAGTATTTGCTTGTCATTATGGGGTATTGTGTGTAGCTTGATGAGGGGAAAAAAACTATTTAATCAATGTTAGAATGAATGCACTGTATACATTTTACATATGCCTTCTAGGGAGTTTTTCCTAGCCACGGTGCTTCTGCCTCTGCATTGCTTGAACTTTCAGGTTTTAGGCTGGGTAAATTTAAAGCACTGCTGATGTAAAAAGAGCTTAATAAAATACATTTGATTGATAGATACATTTGTACAAAACACTCACCATCTGGCTCCCCATATTGGCATTGACTGCTCCTAGTGTGATCTTTGTTACTGGGCTGTAGTTAGACGACGTCATAAGTGATATATTGCCTGAAAAACAGGGTAAAGGGAAAAACTATTTGAAATGTTCCTCATTGGGAAAAACAAATCCAATGTCTCCCTAGACAAATGTACAGTGGGGAGAACAAGTATTTGATACACTGCCGATTTTGCAGGTTTTCCTACTTACAAAGCATGTAGAGTTCTGTAATTTTTATTTGATCAAAAATCCAGAAAATCACATTTGTATGATTTTTAAGTAATTAATTTGCATTTTATTGCATGACATAAGTATTTGATCACCTAATAACCAGTAAGAATTCCGGCTCTCACAGACCTGTTAGTTTTTCTTTAAGAAGCCCTCCTGTTCTCCACTCATTACCTGTATTAACTGCACCTGTTTGAACTCGTTACCTGTATAAAAGACACCTGTCCACACACTCAATGAAACAGACTCCAACCTCTCCACAATGGCCAAGACCAGAGAGCTGTGTAAGGACATCAGGGATAAAATTGTAGACTTGCACAAGGCTGGGATGGGCTACAGGACAATAGGCAAGCAGCTTGGTGAGAAGGCAACAACTGTTGGCGCAATTATTAGAAAATGGAAGAAGTTCAAGATGACGGTCAATCACCCTCGGTCTGGGGCTCCATGCAAGATCTCACCTTGTGGGGCATCAATGATCATGAGGAAGGTGAGGGATCAGCCCAGAACTACACGGCAGGACCTGGTCAATGACCTGAAGGGAGCTGGGACCACAGTCTCAAAAGAAAACCATTAGTAACACACTATGCTGTCATGGATTATAATCCTGCAGCGCACGCAAGGTCCCCCTGCTCAAGCCAGCGCATGTCCAGGCCTGTCTGAAGTTTGCCAATGACCATCTGGATGATCCAGAGGAGGAATGGGAGAAGGTCATGTGGTCTGATGAGACAAAAATAGAGCTTTTTGGTCTAAACTCCACTCGCCGTGTTTGGAGGAAGAAGAAGGATGAGTACAACCCCAAGAACACCATCCCAACCGTGCACCGTATTGAGGGGAGGATGGATGGGGCCATGTAACGCGAGATCTTGGCCAACAACCTCCTTCCCTCAGTAAGAGCATTAAAGATGGGTCGTGGCTGGGTCTTCCAGCATGACAACAACCCGAAACACACAGCCAGGGCAACTAAGGAGTGGCTCCGTAAGAAGCCTCTCAAGGTCCTGGAGTGGCCTATCCAGTCTCCAAACCTGAACCCAATATAAAATCTTTGGAGGGAGCTGAAAGTCCGTATTGCCCAGCGACAGCCCCGAAACTTGAAGGATCTGGAGAAGGTCTGTATGGAGGAGTGGGCCAAAATCCCTGCTGCAGTGTGTGCAAACCTGGTCAAGACCTACAGGAAACGTATGATCTCTGTAATTGCAAGCAAAGGTTTCTGTACCAAATATTAAGTTCTGCTTTTCTGATGTATCAAATACTTATGTCATGCAATAAAATGCAAATTAATTACTTAAAAATCATACAATGTGATTTTCTGGATTTTTGTTTTAGATTCCGTCTCTCACAGTTGAAGTGTACCTATGATAAAAATTACAGACCTCTACATGCTTTGTAAGTAGGAAAACCTGCAAAATCGGCAGTGTATCAAATACTTGTTCTCCCCACTGTAAGTTATTTAAAAAAAATGTTATTATTATTATTATTATATATATATATTTTTTTTTTTTTTGAATGTTTTACCAATTGCTAAGAAAGATTTAAACAATTGGTTTACCAAGGTTTTAACAATAAAGAAGCATTTTTAAATGCCTGGGGTGTGGGATTGATTCCCGCTGAGAGCACTCATATGAAAAATGCATGCATGACTAAGTTGCTTTGGATAAAAGCGTCAGCTAAATGGCATATGATATTATATCGATATCAGCAAGGCATATTGTGATATCGGTTTCCTTCCTGTTAACCTACAACATTATGTAAAAACACGTGCATGACTGTCCCTGCTAGCACAAAACCCTCTCCCAGGCTCTCAACTTAGTATACTTCAAGCTGCAATGTGTCACTTTTTGGGTGATCTGACCAAATTCACATAGAAATGTGTATATAAATCTGTCACTCATTGAAAGCAAGTCTAAGAAACGGTAGATCTATGTGCATTCTTTCTATGCTTCCCGTTCTTAGTTTCATGTTTGCGTCTTAACTTTCGGTTTTGTACACCAGCTTTAAACTGATGAAAATGAAATATTTTTGGTAATGAAAAATATATTTCACAGAAGTTTAAATGGTACAATGATTCTCTACACTATCCTTGCTTGTCGATTTCTACATAGTGTATCTTTAATTGCATGCTGATAGTCCTTTAACCGTGGATGGCTGCCACTTTCCATTGCAATTACATTGAAACTGGTTTGGTAGGTTTCATTCACACCTGGCCCAATGGGCAATCAACAAGCAGTTGTCTTGAACGCCGGAGCTGTGGAAGTGAACAGAAGAGTGAACATTCACACAGTTGTTGTTGTTCCTAACCATGTGACCTGATCTGCATTTTAGAGATTTTTTAAAATATATTTTCCCTTAGGGCAGTGATTTGAATGAACATTTTAATAACTTAGAGCGTGATGTATGTAAATGTACACAAAGGCTGTACTGATGACACAGTGAAGAAAGATGAACACACACACTACTGTCTCCTCAACGTCAGAGAACATTTTTTGGCAGGATGTGGATGAACCCCCTCCCAATCCATACGACTCCTACACAGGGCACACAGACACACACATACAAACAATCCTCAACTAGCGTAAGCCGTGAACTCCCCACCACATACAGCCTCCCATTGTTAGAAGTGGGGCTAACATTACAGCCTAATACTTTTGAGCTGTTCTGTGTTTCTGGGATATCTAGCCTACTCACTGGCAGCATGGCCTGATTCTTTGGGCTGGGAGTTTTTCCTGACCAAGTGACTGACTAAGCTCGGGACCCTGGGTCTGAACCCTGCCCTGTGCATCTGGGTCCTGGACTTCCTGACTTGCCGACCCCAGGTGGTGAAGATAGGTAACAACACCTCCGCTACGCTGATCTCTAACTCAATCATCAAGTTTGCAGACACAACTTTGGTAGGCCTGATTACCAACAATGACGAGACAGCCTACAGGGAGGAGGTGAGGGCCCTAGCAGAGTGGTGCCAGGAAAATAACCTTGCCCTCAATGCTCCTGGACCCCAGGAAGGGTAGCTGCTGCCTTGGCAGCAGCTAATGGGGATCCATAATAAATACAAATACAACAAAACGAAGGAGCTGATCGTGGACTTCAGCTTGGCCCCTAAGACCCTTACAAACTTCTACAGATGCACCATTGAAAGTCGGGTTGTATCACCGCCTGATACAGCAATTGCACTTTCTGCAACCGCAGGGCTCTCCAGAGGGTGGAGCAGTCAGCTCAACGCATCACCGGGGGCACACTGTCTGCCCTCCAGGACATCTACAGCACCCGGTGTCACAGAAAGGTCACACTGTCCATAATGTCTATATACACCATCATATACATATTTATATATTCCGGACTCTGACATTGCTTGTTCTAATATTTCTATATTTCTTAATTATTTTTGGATTTGCGTGTATTGTTTTGTATTGTTAGGTATTACTGCACTGTTGGAGCTAGGAACATAAGCATTTCAGTACACCAGCGATAACATCTGCAAAATATATGTACGCAGCAAAGAACATTTTATTTGACCACCTGACAAGGAAAAACTCTGTGCCCTGGTTTTAGGCCATTATATTAACTAGGGCCTAGAAACACCCCAGGCCCTACTAGCTTCATCCAGTGAGGTCCAGGATGGAGACGGGCTGGCCCAGACTGTGTCGTCCCCTCCTCAGGCCCAACAGAAATGAGGGCCCCTATCTCTCCCTCCCTGCACTGGAATGTGGCCGCCACTCTCTCCTTTAAGGTGCAACAATAAGGAAGGGCTCCCTCATTAGAATACAGCTGAGTAGCTGTCGCTCCCTCTCTCCCTCTTTCTGACTCAAAAAGATAAGGCACAAACACACACACAGGCTCTGTAATTAAAAACATGAGTTTTCATGAACTGCTTTAGAATTAATACAAAAACAGATTGAGATGGTGCTTGGAGGGAAAGGTGTGAGAGACTGTACAACCACACCACAAATATGCACTGATGGATTATACTGTGCACTCATTCATATTACTAAACTTCCTTAACCATCAAAGACAGGCTATAACGGAGTTGACCACTGTAGAGAAACATCAATCCTAAGCATAGTATAAAGACCTGAAAAGGTGCTTCCAGGTAGAAACCAAGGTCCTTCTAAGAATTATATGTAGAGGAGAGTTATCTTTGGACCTTGGACTTAAATCTCAAATGCACAAACACCACTTTCCTGAGGCTTTTTAAATCAATCATCTCATGCTTGTCATCAATAATATTGACCTTCCTGCTGGTGCATTGTCCCTTATCCTGTGATACTTCATTCAATTGTTTCAGTTGTTGGCCAAAGTGCAGCGCACGTTGGAGCAAAACAAGTCAATAAAAGAGAGGTGTTTTGACCAGTCGTCATGTTCCCTGCCTGCAGCACTTGGACAGCACCCGCCTTCTCAATGAATCCTGATACTCGACAGAAAACTGCTGTTGCAGGCTAAACCACTATAAAAACAAATGCACCCACTTTGGGCAACTACATTCAAGAAAACCCTAGATGGCAACAAAACATAAAACATCACATTTAGTGCCCGGGAATCAGAGATTCTGAAACAACCTCAATGAGCGCAATCAAACCATTAAGGAACTATGACAAGTCAACACATCTTTCTTTCATTCAGAAATGAACACAGCCTAACCATACAGGCAGAACTAGCAAACTACAACATCCTTGTATAAAAGTCCAGACTAACAATTGGGAGAAACAGAGTCAAGTGCGTTAAGTCATTAAAAGTTGCTAAAATCGTCTTTCCATCTATCGTTGGAACCAACAGCTCTTGTTTACCTGTCGCTCTACAGAGGGGAACCAGCAGGACCTCCATGGCTCCCTCTCCTTCTCTCTCCGTCCCTCTCCCAGTTTCTCTGTCCCAGTGAGCCGACAACGCTTCCCTTCCCCCAACAGGCATTAATCTAGCGAGCAACTTCCTGTCGGATGGAGAGGAGAGCAGAGGAGGGGGAGGTAGAGAGTCTCTTTACTGGCCCCCCAGAACAGCCTCCCGCCCTCCCCTTCCTCTGTTCTCGGCGAGTTTGCTACACACAACCAATCCCATTACGACTAGACAAGACACAGAGAGTAGAGAAGGAAAAAAGCACATTAATTTACTTGAAGTGAAGAGCATATGCCTCTCAGCAGCTCGTGCAGCCTGGGATCCACTGCCCCCCCTCACACACTCGCTCTCCCACTCACTATTTTGTTACCAGTCAATGGAAACTTCAGAGCCCCTGCCAGGCATCGCCGGGCGAGTGCAGAGGAAGTCCACCCACCTTGCTCTCCAGACAGTGTGGGAACAACACAATGACCCTTTTCACTGAGATAATGCCTGGCCACACACACACACACACACACACACACACACACACACACACACACACACACACACACACACACACACACACACACACACACACACACAAAGGCATGACCATGTAGGGCTGCTCTCTGGCTGACAGGGAGAAAAAACACCTTGGTTTAAGGCCACAGATTAAGATTTCCAGTCATTTCAATCAATGACATAGGCCTATAGGCTGGACTACACTTGTTTTTCATGAATATGATTTATACAGTGCATTCGGAAAGAATTCAGACCCCTTGACTTTTCCCACATTGTTACGTTAAAGCCTTATTCTAAAATTGATTAAATTTTTTTTTACACACAATACCCCATAACGACAAAGCGAAAACAGGTTTTTATAAATTTTTGCAAATGTATAAAAAATAAAACACAGAAATACATTATTTACATAAGTATTCATACCCTTTGCTATGAGACTCAGAATTGAGCTCAGGTGTATCCTGTTACCATTGATCATCCTTGAGATGTTTCTACAACTTGATTGGAGTCCACCTGCGGTAAATTCAATTGATTGGACATGATTTGGAAAGGCCCACACCTGTCTATATAAGGTCCCACAGTTGACAGTGCATGTCAGAGCAAAAACCAAGCCATGAGGTCGAAGGAATTGTCCGTAGAGCGCCGGCCAAACTAAGCCAATGAGAATGAGAAACAAGATTCTCTGGTGTTATGAAACCAAGATAGAACTCTTTGGCATGAATGCCAAGCGTCACTTCTGGAGGAAACCATCCCTACGGTGAAGCATGGTGGTGGCAGCATCATGCTGTGGGGATGTTTTTCAGCATCAGCGACTGGGAGACTAGTCAAGATCAAGGGAAAGATGAACAGAGCAAAGTACAGAGAGATCCTTGATGAAAACCTGCTCAAGAGAGCTCAGGTCCTCAGACTGGGGTGAAGGTTCACCTTCCAACAGGAACAACAACCCTAAGCACACAGACCAGACAACACAGGAGTGGCTTCAAGGACAAGTCTCTGAATGTCCTTGAGTGACCCAGCCAGAGCCCGGACTTGAACCCAATCAAACATCTCTGGAGAGACCTAAAAATAGCTGTGCAGCGACGCTCCCCATCCAACCTGACAGAGCTTGAGAGGATCTGCAGAGAAGAATGGGAGAAACTCCTCAAATACAGGTGTGCCAAGCTTGGAGCGTCATACCCAAGAAGACTCTAGGCTTTAATCGCTGCCAAAGGTGCTTCAACAAAGTACTGAGTAAAGGGTCTGAATACTTATGTAAATGTGATATTTCATTTATTTTTATTTTGTATAAACTAGCAAAAATATCAGAACCAGTTTTTGCTTTGTCATTATGGGGTATTGTGTGTAGATTGATGAGGGGGAAAATATAATTTACTCAATTTTATGTCTGAACTTTAATTTTGGTGGGCTTAATAGGTACACTTACCCTAAGCATTGAAAAAAACATATTTATATTTAATATGTAATATTTCCGTGTTTTATTTATAATACATTTGCAAACATTTCTAAACTATTTTTGCTTTGTCATTATGGGTTATTGTGTGTAGATTGATGAGGGAAACAAATCTATTTAATACATTTTAGAATAAGGCTGTAACGTAACAACGTGGAAAATGTCAAGGGGTCTGAATACATTCCGAATGCACTGTAAATACCTTGCTGGAATTACAACAGTCGTACCTTATCATAATAAAAAACTAAGGACATAGTGAATTTCTTCATAGTTCATCATTGGTAAAAAAAAATATATAGCGCACGCTTGCTAAAATGACATGCTATAAAGATAGCATACATCTGATACAAGACAGCAGAGTAACAAAACAGTAGTCTACAAAGGTCACTGTTCAAAACAATACCTGAACTGAAACCAGGCAAACTGTGGATACAAGTAATAGCCTATGTAAACTACACAATATTTATTCATTGAAATGAAGCATACTGTGCACATTTCCAAAGGTGTATTTCCACATTGTGTGGACAATACATTTTTTACAATTAGATGTTTTTATTACAACCCTTCAGTAGCCAATCAGAGCATGTACACACACTAGCTTCACATCTACACAATGCACATCCCTCTTATAATCAAGTACAGTAGGACCTCAGATTCGAACAAGTCCTGAATAGAGGTCGTTCAGAATACTGAAAAATGTGTGACTTTGAAATGGGTTTTAAAAAAACGTATCAAACCTAAGCAGAAAATATAAATTGCAAAATTAACCCGTATTACACCTGTAATCTAACATTTTGCCAGGAGTGTATTACTCACTAGGAACCAAACAAAAGCAAACAGGACGAAATGTGTAGGGACCCACCTGAATTTGTCTAATAAGAAAGTGTAGTTATCATTGCAAAGTGTTCTGTTCCAAAACTTTTTGCTACACTAAAGAATGCACCGCTGATGTTTTTAGCACATGAAAGCAACATTAACAGTTGCCTGTAGCTAGTCTCGCGTTGCCATACCTCCACAATCATGATCGTTGTCACGCCTCCCTTAGAGGTCTGGAGAATTTTGTATTGTACTGTTTTCCGACAGGGTAGGATACATTTTGTAGAAAGTTGTTCCGTATGCTAGCTAGTTTGCAACATTGCAGAAAATGGAAGTTAAGATGTAGGAAAAATGCAATTCTGTTTTGCCAGAAGTGTGCTCTATACACAAAATCGAGTCGACGAAGGCATTACAACTCCTCTGCTTGAACACTCTACTAAAGAGACGTTTCGGTGTGTCTACCTACAGGCTATGGTAAAAGTTTAGTGCAGCAAGTGTGGCCGACTGTCTGCGATTTATTGAAATTGAAAGTGGAGTAATTGATGATAATAGTCGTTTCTCCTCTGATGTCAATAATCGAGGATCAGGTGCATGTTCTGAACTCAAGGAATCGCCGCCGCATACGCAGGGCAAAGTGAGATAGAGGACGAGAAAATTGCCAAGGGTGAATACACGATTGTACGGAAGAGTATTAGGGCCAAGTGAAGAGAATGAAAAAATATGGCAACAGGTGATGGTACCTGGATTTTTTATTTATTTTTTTGCACGATAGTTCTTTAAAATTGTGGCAATATTTTGAGAATAAACTCGAAATTAAATAGAGAATAAAAGTGGCAATATTTTTAGATTAAAGTGGCTATATTTCGAGAATAAACTAGACATTTTATTTCAAGAATAAAGTCGCAATTATAGTTGAAGATTAAAGTAGGGGATTTGGTTAACTGCATGTCTCCCTGGCTCCCTGTTGCTCTGCGCGCCACTACAGTATTATTTAGTCCTTTATTATGACAACTAATGCATATTTGTTTTCATCCCATTTCCTATAAAGGGGTAAGGCACAGGGGAAGGAGGATGCTTTTCGGAAGTGGTGTGGAAAGGTTGGTGAGCTGCGGTCAGTCCTACCAGTTCCTGTATTGGCCGGCACATCTAAAGCTTCCAAGGCAACAAGGGAGAGCATAATGAAGCACCTGGGCATGCAGCAATGTGTTGAGGTGATGAAAAGTCCTGACAGGGACAACACCAGACTGGCAGAAATGAAGGAGTCGTCTGACCCTGTAGAGACATTTTCATGGTTGCTCACAGAGGCAAAGGGGCCTGAGACCCCAAGAGAATTGAAGACTGTTCTTTTCTGTACACTGTTTTTCAGCATTTTCTTGGGGAGAAATCTGTGCATCCAGCAGGAGCAGAAGACACACTGGAAAACAGGCTTTTTGACATGTACCCCTCAGAGACACCCGAGCACATGAAACTGCACATCATTGCAGCCTTGAAAGAGTTGTGATGACTACTTCAGCACTGGGAATGGGGGTGGACTTTAAGAATGTCCATCATGTAGTCAACTATGGACCACCTCAAGACTTTGAGTCCTACATGCAGGCATATGGATGAGTGGGGAGGGACGGCACAAGCTCACATTCACTTACCCTGTACAATGGAAGACAGCTTGATGAAGTTTCAGATAAAATGAGACTGTGTCAAACAGTACCACCTGCTGGCTCTTTGATATTGAGGTCACGCAACCAATATCACCCAAACATGACTGCTGTGACAATTGTGCTTCCTCATAAAACTGCAAGGACGTACAGTGCATTCGGAAAGTATTCAGACCCCTTAACTTTTTCCACATTTTGTTACGTTACAGCCTCATTCTAAAACGGATTAAATTGTTTTTTCCCCCCTCATCAATCTACACACAACACCCCATAATGACAAAGAAAAAACGGAAATATTACATTTACATAAGTATTCAGACCCTTTACTCAGTCCTTTGTTGAAGCACCTTTGGCAGCGATTAAAGCCATGAGTCTTCTTGGTAATGACCCTACAAACTTGGCACACCTGTATTTGGGGAGTGTCTCCAATTCTTCTCTGCAGATCCTCTCAAGCTCTGTCAGGTTGGATGGGGAGCGTCGCTGCACAGCTATTATCAGGTCTCTCCAGAGATGTTTGATCGGGTTCACGTCGAGGCTCTGGCTGGGCCACTCAAGGACATTCAGAGACTTGTCCCGAAGTCACTCCTGCGTTGTCTTGGCTGTGTGCTTAGGGTCGTTGTCCTGTTGGAAGGTGAACCTTCGCCCCAGTCTGAGGTCCTGAGCAGGTTTTCATCAAGGATCTCTCTGTACTTTGCTCCATTCATTTTACCCTTGATCCTGACTAGTCTCCCAGTCCCTGCCTGCTGAAAAACATACCCACAGCATGATGCTGCCACCACCATGCTTCACCATAGGGATGGTGCCAGGTTTCCTCCAGACGTGATACTTGGCATTCAGGCCAAAGGGTTCAATCTTGGTTTCATCAGACCAGAGAATCTTATTTCTCATGGTCTGAGAGTCCTTCAGGTGCCTTTTGGCAAACTCCAAGTGGGATGTCATGTGCCTTTTACTGAGGAGTGGCTTCCGTCTGGCCACTCTACCATAAAGGCCTGATTGGTGGAGTGCTGCAGAGATGGTTGTCCTTCTGGAAGGTTCTCCAATCTCCACAGAGGAACTCTGGAGCTCGGTCGGAGTGACCATCGGGTTCTTGGTCACTCCGACACAGCTTCTCCCCCGATTGCTCAGTTTGGGTGGGCAGCCAGCTCTAGGAAGTGTCTTGGTGGTTCCAAACTTCTTCCATTAAGAATGATGGAGGCCACTGTGTTCTTGGGGACCTTCCATGCTGCAGACATTTTTTGGTACCCTTCCCCAGATCTGTGCCTTTGACACATTTCTGTCTCTGAGCTCTACGGACAATTCCTTCGACCGAATGACTTTTTGCTCTGACATGCACTGTCATCTGTGGGACCTTATATAGACAGGTGAGTGCATTTCCAAATCATGTCTAATCAATTGAATTTACCATAGGTGGACTCCAATCAAGTTGTAGGAACATCAAGGATGATCAATGGAAACAGGATGCACCTGAGCTCAATTTCGAGTCTCATAGCAAAGGCTCTGAATACGTATGTAAATAAGGTATTTATGTTTTTTTACTTTTAATAAATGTGCAAAAATTTCTACAAACCTGTTTTCACTTTGTCATTATGGGGTATTGTGTGTAGATTGATGAGGGGAGAATTTTTTTAAATCCATTTTAGAATAAGGCTGTAACGTAACAAAATGTGGAAAAAGGGAAGGGGTCTAAATACTTTCCGAATGCACTGTATGGTTGATGTCCTCGGATCTACTTTCCAGACTCTGGCTTCAGCTCACATTCTTTATCAAATCGCTGCATGAGGTCTGTCTGCTCTCCAATGGTTCTGATGACTTTCTGTGCAATGTCAAACTGGACAAGGGCCCCTTGATGGTCTTTTTTGAGGCACACATGGTGTTCGCAATTCTTGCATCAAATACTTTGGTATTGCTCTGGGCTGATTACCTTGAAGACTAACCAATTATTTCCAAAGGACCTGTAAGTATCTGTGACTTTGTACAAGAAGTAGTTGCAACAGTGACCTTAAATACAAGTAAAATAAGATGTTAATATCTGAAAGTGTCGTCATGCATTATGCAACACATTTGCAATGATACACTTTGTGTATGTGGCACATAAAATGGGCTTTATCAGTTACTTCATTGTCAAGGGAAAAAAATGAATCAACTGAATATATTATTAAACGTCTGAGGGTCGTGACAGCCGGCACATATTTTCTTTCTCACTCCAGAATTTGCTCTTTCCCCTCACAAAACATTAGATTCTTTCCACATCATTGGCACTTATTTTACATTTGACTCGAAGGTGTGAAAGGAGCAACATGCTGCTTTTGAAAACCCATCACTCAGCTTCTAAGACCAGTGTGTAGTCTGGTCGCAATAAACATGATTTACCTTGAATAATGTTATGTTTGTTCCTGTTACAGTTGTACGGTTCACCACAAACACAGCATACATCAACATATTTGGATGGGATTTAAAAAAATCGTTGATTTCATGGCTGTCCTCACGCACTGTTGCACATACGACCTTAATCTAGTGAGCACCTCCGCACAAGTAAGGTTTGACGTGTTGCTGATTTTGTGCCATAGACTTGCACAGGCTTCCGTTTTTTTGGGATTCGATATTGCCCTTTCGGTTGAACGGTCAGTCCATAAGTTGGAGGTTAATTTCTTTGAGGTTCTACTGTACAAAAAAAAACCAGACAATATCTAGTGGGTCCCACACACCAGTAAGGTTGTCAAACATTTGCTTGCCGAGAGTACTTAGCACCTCTGAACAGTGTCGGCAGTCAACCTCTTTTGTGTTCACACCGCACATACTTTAAAGCCTTTGGCCTTGTGAAAATACTCCAAACCAGAAGGTGGCAGTAGCATTGCATTCTTAAGTTTAGTTTAACAATGCTAGTCCCTTTTAAATTTGCTATTGTTGTATAAAGCCCTTGTTGATACTAGCCAGATGGCCACAGCTAGATAACTAGCTAGCAAGATGACAAAGAAACAATGTAATTCACTCTCCATAATCCCATAGTCAATTTTCTTGACAGCTAGCTAATGTTAGATAAACCGTTAGCATGTCATTCCCTAGCTAGCACAACATATTTTTTCCTTTTTGTTGTCACTCCTGTCAGCTCTCCCACATGGAGGTTTGTGCTCTCTGATTGGCTCAAAGTCAAGTTGTAGGCCACTGAGGAGCTTTGCGATTCTACAAGTAGAAACAGCAGGTTCGTCGGTACCAGGTCAGTGCGCAGCAGGTACGTATTTTGTTCTAGCAAGAGAAGGAACAGCCTCCTACTGTGATCAGTACCTATCGGCTGTGTTTCATACTTAAGGACTCTTACCGTTAGGTAGGTTTTGGTTGTTGCTTAGAAAGGCAGAAAGAGTGGCAGAGCCAACCTAGGAGATAGAGAGAGTAGCCAAACAGAGACACAGGTCAGACAAGTGCAACCGATGCAAAGTGAATAAGACCCATCACACACACCTCACTGACAGCCTGTCACAAGTCCATTCAGATGTGTTTAAAAACCCTTTACTGGCTATTTTTTACTGGACTTCACGTGCATTAATGAGTGTAGTTTGCTGTTTTCAAAACATATGTGAAAACAGTTAGGCCTCAACGGTCCATGTCACCTCATCCAGATGTGACACTTAACACAACAATAAAATACACAGGGTGACACAGGTTATTTTGGAAGGTGCTTTCACATAGCATATTTATAAATGCAAACTACCTAAATATATGCATGCATGCATAAACAGATGTATTTTCATCTCGTCGAATAAGACGTTGTGGACAGACAAAGGCACAGGCCCAGAGAGAAAGAGAAAATTACATATGTGTTTGGAGCCTCCATCAGTGAGCCTCATGTGACCTCATGTATAATAAAGAGTGCACGAATCAACCAAGAGTGCGCGAATCAACCTGCGACAAACAGCGCCAACATTCAGACTCACGCGCACGCACACAGTGACTCTCTCTGTGTTGGCCATCATATTGCAGGTGATGGACAGACACCTCCCCTCTCCAGACAGCACTCCCTTTGGCTTCTCTGAGCACACAGAATACCTGCAAGCAAAAAACATACACCCAGTTGTGTTTAGGGCTGTGCAACCAACCGTAGACTAAACACGGTATGCACACCACAAGCACGCACACACACACACACACACACACACACATACACTGGCACTGTGGGGATTCAGTCAGGTTAGGTACTATGAGGCAGTGTTTTCCATTAGCACCGGCAGTCCGCTAATCAGCCGGTAACAGACTCATTTTCAGCCGGTAACTTTTTTCCAATTCATATTAACTAGGCTACTTTTCATTTAAAATGTAAAATACGCTAGTCCGTCGAGCCCCCTCCCGCTAAAATGAACAATATGCATCTTCTAGCGCGCGATTGATAGGATAGGCGCCTGTTAGTCACAAGCGATGACAGGGAAACGCAGTCTGCGGTCTGTCGCGCCTCCCGGTGAAATTTGTGTGCGCTGTAGTTGATTGCAGTCTACTTTCTTTACACGGAGGAGGGAGAGAGCATGATGATTGTGAATTCGCACGTCCCATGTAATGTAAGTGGTAACAATGAGTAGAAATCCCCTTAGCCAACCTAATTATGGTTCTGGCACATTTATTTATTTTCTTTCACGTTTCATATAGCCAGCCACGCAGAGTCGTGGCGCATAGGCTATTTACTGTGCTTTGATACACAACTGAACAGCAAGTGTTGACTAGTTTAAAAAAGGTGTCGGACTGACTGAATAAAGTTGATCTCCTATATTCCTTTGCCATTCATATATCATGCAAAGTGGATATGTCCATGGTATCGCGTTGGGACAAGTAAACCAAAGGATTTCCTAGGTTTCCTTTCCAAGGATGTCGGGGCTTGCCAGACAGTGAAACTAAAGTGAGTGACTGGTCTCGTCAGTCAGTCAGTGTAGTCTACCGAATTACATCGGCGAGAGAGACATTCATTTGGCTCCCTAATTTGCATAGGCTACTGGTAGGCCTAGGCCTTTTGGCGATTGTCTGCAGATAAATTCTGAAAACATTTGATTTAAGACTGTGAATCATCACTGCAGGAACAATAGGTAGTGGAGAGCCTCATTCTGGTCCAAATATGATCATTAAGGCCCTCGCGGAATCCAGGCATTAAAACGGAATTCAACAATGTAAAAAATGTATCAACCTTAGTAGGGAATCAACTAAATGTATTACATTAATTCATTTGTTTATAAGACATGAACAGAATGTGTCTGTGATAAATATTTCCTGCAACTTTCTGAAGAGGCAACGAGAATGCCGATCTGTGTGTGTGCGGTGCAGGCATCCACCACTTTGTGTTGCCATTAGGGGTGATGCTAATGAAAACAGTCTTCTGGTAAATGGAAAGGCTTTCCCAAAAACCTTCTCAATTAAATGTTAACAACAAAGTAGCCTATGCTTACCTGGTAGAATGATATCATTATTACTTTCATCAATTTAGTGGGTATTTGTTTTGCAAACTCTAACATCACATGTTCGCTACAAAAACACAGCTAAACAACAGCTTCTTGCTAGGTTACTACATCCAAAAATCAATCTCTCCGATTTTTCCCATACTCAAAAGTGGTCTCCTGATGTGGTTTAGTATTGTTGTGGACTTAAACTACAAAATTGGATGTTCTTTCTATATACAAAAGTGTGATTTTTGAGGGCGAAAACCTGAAAACTGGGAAAAATGCAAACCTGAAATAAAAGAAATGGAGAAAACAGAATTTGGGAAAGAACAAAATGGAATCAGGCAAAAAATAAAACTGATTTTATAGGGCCCTACCTAATTATAGATTTTTGTATTAATTTAAGCTATGTAAAATCAGAAGGATATAAACTCAGCAAAAAAAGAAATGTCCTCTCACTCTCAACTGCGTTTATTTTTAGCAAACTTAACGTGTAAATATTTGTATGAACATAACAAGATTCAACAACTGAGACAAACTGAACAAGTTCCACAGACATGTGACTAACAGAAATGGAATAATGTGTCCCTGAACAAAGTGGGGGTCAAAATCAAAAGTAAAAGTCAGTATCTGGTGTGGCCACCAGCTGCATTAAGGACTGCAGTGCATCTCCTCCTCATGGACTGCACCAGATTTGCTAGTTCTTGCTGTGAGATGTTACCCCACTCTTCCACCAAGGTACCTGCAAGTTCCCGGACATTTCTGGGTGGAATGGCCCTAGCCCTCACCCTCCGATCCAACAGGTCCCAGACGTGCTCAATGGGATTGAGATCCTGGCTCTTCGCTGGCCATGGCAGAACACTGACATTACTGTCTTGCAGGAAATCACACACAGAATGATCAGTATGGCTGGTGGCATTGTCATGCTGGAGGATCATGTCAGGATGAGCCTGCAGGAAGGGTACCACATGAGGGAGGAGGACGTCGTCCATGTAACGCACAACGTTGAGATTGCCTGCAATGACAACAAGCTCAGTCCGATGATGCTGTGACACACCGCCCCAGACCATGACGGACCCTCCACCTCCAAATCGATCCCGCTCCAGAGTACAGGCCTCGGTGTAACGCTCATTCCTTCGACGATAAAGGCGAATCCGACCATCACCCCTGGTGAGACAAATCCGCGACTCGTCAGTGAAGAGCACTTTTTGCCAGTCCTGTGTGGTTCAGCAACGGTGGGTTTGTGCCCATAGGCAATGTTATTGCCGGTGATGTCTGGTGAGGACCTGCCTTACAACAGGCCTACAAGCCCTCAGTCCAGCCTCTCTCAGCCTATTCCGGACAGTCTGAGCACTGATGGAGGGATTGTGCATTCCTGGTGTAACTCAGGCAGTTGTTGTTGCCATCCTGTACCTGTCCCGCAGGTGTTATGTTCGGATGTACCGATCCTTGCAGGTGTTGTTACACGTGGTCTGCCACTGCGAGGACGATCAGCTGTCCGTCCTGTCTCCCTGTAGCGCTGTCTTTTGCGTCTCACAGTACGGACATTGCAATTTATTGCCCTGGCCACATCTGCAGTCCTCATGCCTCCTTGCAGCATGCCTAAGGCACATTCACGCAGATGAGCAGGGACCCTGGGTATCTTACTTTTGTTGTTTTTCCGTCAGTAGAAAGGCCTCTTTAGTGTCATAAGTTTGCATAACTGTGACCTTAATTGCCTACCATCTGTAAGCTGTTAGTGTCTTAACGACCGTTCCACAGGTACATGTTCATTAATTGTTTATGGTTCATTGAACAAGCATGGGAAACAGTGTTTAAACCCTTTACAATGAAGATCTGTGAAGTTATTTGGATTTTTACGAATTATCATTGAAAGACAGGATCCTGAGAAAGGGACATTTTCTTTTTTTGCAGAGTTTAATATTTAAGACTTTTATTTTTTTGTAACTTTTTATTTAATTTTTCAAGTTATTGTTAGCTATTTACTAAAATCAAATCAAATGTATTTGCCACATGCGCCGAATACAACAGGTGTAGACATTACCGTGAAATGGTTACTTACAGCCCTTAACCAACAATGCATTTATTTCTTAATAAAAAAAGTAAAATAAAACAACAAGAACAAAAAAGTGTTGAGAAATAAAGAGCAGAAGTTAAATAAAATAACAATAGGGAGGCTATATACAGGGGGGTACCGGTGCAGAGTCAATGTGCGGGGGAACCGGCTAGTTGAGGTAGTTGAGGTAATATGTACATGTGGGTAGAATTAAAGTGACAATGCATGAATAATAAACAGAGCAGCAGCAGCGTAAAAAGATGGGGTGGGGGTGCAAGTAGTCCGGGTAGCCATGATTAGCTGTTCAGGAATCTTATGGCTTGGGGGTAGAAGCTGTTGAGAAGCCTTTTGGACCTAGACTTGGCGCTCCGGTACCGCTTGCCGTGCGGTAGCAGAGAGAACAGTCTATGACTAGGGTGGCTGGAGTCTTTGACAATTTTGAGGGCCTTCCTCTGACACCGCCTGGTATAGAGGCCCTGAATGGCAGGAAGCTTGTCCCCAGTGATGTACTGGGCCGTACGCACTACCCTCTGTAGTGCCTTGCAGTTGGAGGCCGAGCAGTTGCCATACCAGGCGGTGATGCAACCAGTCAGGATGCTCTCGATGGTGCAGCTGTAGAACTTTTTGAGGATCTGAGGACCCATGCCAAATCTTTTCAGTCTCCTGAGGGGGAATAGGCTTTGTCGTGCCCTCTTCACAACTGTCTTGGTGTGTTTGGACCATGATAGTTCGTTGGTGATGTGGACACCAAGGAACTTGAAGCTCTCAACCTGTTCCACTACAGCCCCGTCGATGAGAATGGGGGCGTGCTCAGTCCTCTTTTTTTTTTCCTGTAGTCCACAATCATCTCCTTTGTCTTGGTCACGTTGAGGGAGAGGTTGTTGTCCTGGCACCACACGGCCAGGTCTCTGACCTCCTCCCTATAGGCTGTCTCATCGTTGTGGGTGATCAGGCCTACCACTGTTGTCGTCGGCAAACTTAATGATGGTGTTGGAGTCGTGCCTGGCCATGCAGTCATGGGTGAACAGGGAGTACAGGAGGGGACTGAGCACGCACCCCTGAGGGGCCCCGTGTTGAGGATCAGCGTGGCAGATGTATTGTTACCTACCCTTACCACTTGGGGGCGGCCCGTCAGGAAGTCCAGGATCCAGTTGCAGAGGGAGGTGTTTAGTCCCAGGATCCTTAGCTTAGTGATGAGCTTTGAGGGCACTATGGTGTTGAACGCTGAGCTGTAGTCAATGAATAGCATTCTCATGTAGGTGTTCCTCTTGTTCAGGTGGGAAAGGGCAGTGTGGAGTGCAATAGAGTTGCGTCATCTGTGGATCTGTTGGGGTGGTATGCAAATTGGAGTGGGTCTAGTGTTTCTGGGATAATGGTGTTGATGTGAGCCATGACCAGCCTTTCAAAGCACTTCATGGCTACAGACGTCAGTGCTACGGGTCAGTAGTCATTTAGGCAGGTTATCTTAGTGTCCTTGGGCACGGGGACTATGGTGGTCTGCTTGAAACATGTTGGTATTACAGACTCAGTCAGGGACATGTTGAAATTATCGGTGAAGACACTTGCCTGTTGGT